TTGTTCTTTGCTAGACTACTGCTTTTCTAGTTAGAATGGAGAAGGAATCACGAGGTGTGCTACTTCTAGTGAACTCATGCTTGCTGTGTACAGTTACTCTACTGACACAGGTCTTTCTTTCCTAGGTTTTTGATGACTGCCATGAAGGTGGTGAGATTTCTCCATCTAACTGTATTTATATGACAGAATGGCTGGAGTTTTAAGGTGAAAGACGTTTGTATACTCGATCGATTCTTCACAGCTAAGATGACAAAGCAGCTTCTAAATCTGTGAGCAACTTCAAGATGTGAAGTTCCTTTGCCTTTTTTTAAGTAAACCTAAAGCTGCAACATCAGTTTTGTGAGCAGTCCTGTAAGTGGACTGAAAATCAAACCAGCACTGAAGATCAAGGCTGAAGTGAAAACACAGATCCCATCTTGTACAAAATGCGGGTGCGTGACTTGAGAAGTGCCACAGAACAGCTGTGTGGTGATGCATCACACTCGAGGATTGTGTTGAGTACTCAACAGGCACTTACTTTGAAAGAAAATAAGTCATCAGCTGATCAGAAAAACTTGCTAATGAGCATTGCCAAGAATTAAATCCTAAACTTTGCTTTCAGACTTGCAGTCCTGGTGCAAGCTTAAGTCCTAAAGCTGACACTTTTTTTCACTGTGTAAAATAGAAATCAGTGATTCTTTACCACCATTCCTACCTGCTATAATTTGTGATTAAAACTGTATTGGATTTTTTTTTCTTATCTATTTTTGTGCTTCATTTTCTCTGCTGTCAGGGTCTGGTGATATTTCTGTTGCATTTATTGTGTGGCAACTACAGGATTATCTAATCTGTGCTTCTGTGTTCTGGCAGCTGCATCGTGCACATAAATGTCAGCTGAAATTCTGAATGTAAGTATTCTGTGAAGATGTGTTTTCCAGATGAGAAACAGCTCTTCTGTCCTGGTAATACAGGTACAGTGAAAAATTTTATAGGCTGTCTTTATGCCCTGAGGATTACAAAAAGTACCAATGACAGCTGTTTGTACATAAATATGGTTTGTGATCTGAAGAAGGCATTATACTGGCATACCATCAAAAAGAATGGTTTTATCTTCCTGTGATGTAGAGCCAATTTCATAGAATCATAGAATCACAAGATTGGAAAGGACTTACAAGATCATCTAGTCCAACCGTCATCCCATTACCATTGCTACTAAACCATATCTCATAGCTCCTCATCCAGATGCCTCTTGAACACTGCCAGGGATGGTGACTCCACCACCTGCCTTGTCAGGCCATTCCAGTGCCTGACCACTCTCTGAGAGAGAAATTTTTTCCTTATGTCTAACCTAAACCTCCTCTGGCACAACTTGCAGCCATTTTCTTGGGTCCTGTTCGTTGCCTGGGAGAAGAGGCCAAACCCCTCCTCACCACAACCTTCCTTCAGGAAGTTGTAGAGTGCAGTGAGGTCTCCCTTGAGCCACCTCTTCTTCAGACTAAACAATCTCAGCTCCCTCAGCCACTCCTCATAAGATTTGTGCTCCAGACCCCTCACCAGTTTCGTTGCCCTTCTCTGGACACGTTCCAGTGCTTCAATGTCTTTCTTGCAGTGATGGGGCCAAAACTGAATACAGCACTCAAGGTACAGCCTCAGCAGTACTGAGTACAGGGGGTGATTAGCACTCTGCTCCTGCTGGCCACGCTATTTCTAATGCAGGCAAATTTGTGCTTCTTTTGAGCATAGCCTCTCATGCTCCTTCTCTGTGCATCCCTAGACTCATGAATTGGCAATAATGTATTAACTGTGTTTTCATAAGCCTATTGCCCTTTCATGATGGCCAAAGACATGTTGGAACATGGACCTGTTCTTTGAGGCAACTAGATACAGCTTTCTGACTGTTATCTGGCAGCATTAGATGTGTGATACTGTCTTTGGAAATGTGTGTTCAAATCCTGCTTTGGAAGTAAACAGGCTTTTGTACCAACAGTTATGGAAATTAATTACGTCACCTCTCCCTTGTCCTGTAACATCTTGAAAAGTCAGCTCATTTTCATAAATGAGAATACTGTGCATATACGGTATGGTCCTCTCTACCATCCACAATAACAGAGGGCTGAGCTGAAGTACTAGTGGGCAGAGCAGTGTAGATAAATACATGAACTCTGTGAAGAGAGCCAGGTCTCAGTACAACTTGCTGCCTCTGGCTTAGCTTTGTAGGATGTCTGCACAACCACTTTATCTTTGTGATATCCTCCCAGCACTGGGAAACCATCAGTGGGGTTGATCACAATAGTGGACCTGTTGCGTCTGTCTGTTTTCAGAACTCTGTCGGAAAATAAGCCCTCCAGGGCATTTTTTGGGAGAGTGATGGCCAAGCGCTTCTGCAACTGAATTTTCAGCAAGCAAGGAATTCTGACTCCAAGTAGTAAGCAGTTGGCTAATATAGACAGAATTCTGGAGGACAGACTACTAGAATGGAATGGGAACAAGTTTGATGGTGTTAGCTAATGTGTGCACTCACAGCTGGCTCTTTCTTTTGTTGGCAGCATTATCTCTTGAGGTGACAGGGATACATCTCTCTTTCTACAGAGGAAGAAATGTTGTCACAAAGTGGGGGGTGAAATTATGAGATGTTTGTTCTTTCTCTGCTGCCTTTATCCATGTAGCACACTGAAGCTTTGAGAAAACCGCTGCTCCCTTCACTGATATTTACCTCAGCTTCAGCCATCTGTTATGTGGCCAAAGATAATTTCACTGAGGTGTGAGGCTGGGAATGCCTCTTAGGAAGGAAATCTAACACAACAGAGTCTGCGTCCTGCTGCATCAGAGATAATGCAAATTAATTGAGCTCTGCTTCAGCTAGAAGACAGCTTTCATAGAAATGATACATCATGCAAGTATGTCATTTCATGCAGTATGGCCATATTTACTGGCAGTGAGAAAAAGGAGAAAAAGCCTGTTCTCAGAAAATGGCTGTGAGGAGTGGAGAGCTGGTCTATTAAGCCCTCTCAATCCTGCTTCATTTGTACTGGATTTATCTGGTTTAGATGGCCTTACCTTTGTGGTCCACAAAGCTATTTCATAGTGTTGCAGCTGTAAAAAGACATCTCAAATTTAGAAAAAAAAAAAAAAAAAAAAGTACCTATTGGGGAAAGTAAAGCAATTTCTCTTTGCTATTTGTAAAATAGGAGTTTGTATGATCTATTTAATTGAGAGGGATGATCTTTCTGTCATTCTGGATCTTCATGAACCTCTGTGGCCTATCGCCTTCAAAAAGGGAATAAATATTAAAAAGTAACATTAATAAATTCAATCTTTTTTTCCTTCCTGACTTCCTTCAGTTTTCTTTTCTACCTGGCAAAGCTGTCCCCTTTACAATGTGGTATGAAATGTAAATGTTTAATGTTTCCAGAAGCATTAACTGCAGTGTCAGGCTGTAGTGTGAATGGAGAGAAAGTACAGCTCGCGGGTACTGTTTAACGTGCCTAGCCTTTGCAGTCCAAAGTTTAAGACGTTAATGGCAAACTTAAAGCTTTGATAGCGAAAACTCTGGTTGATTGGCTATTTAGATTTCCCTTTTTTCTTTTTTTCAGTTTAGCCTGCTTACACCTCTCACCTCTGTGGGACCGTTGGAGCAATGGTTGTTTACCTGGTGTTGTTTGAGTGCCATCTTCTGCCTCACCCGGGTATGGCTGTTCTGAGACTCTGAAAGAGAGCTCCTAGGCCATGGGTGTCCAACCAGCTAGCTTGCCTGGGCCTTGTGGAGTGAAAAGGAGTTGTCTTGGGCTGCATATAAAAAATGAGGACTGCTCTGAATGTAATGCCTCCTGTCTTATATTGTTGGCCCACAACATCAGAGGCAGATGATATTATGGCAGTAGAGGTTGAACCTTCCCATCAGTATCCCGTTACATGTTGTTGCTGTGTGATGGCAGCACGAGGGCAGTCTGACACAATGGTGTCTGTTATGGAAGTGCATATGGAGCAAAGGTGTGGAACTGAATGCCTGCACGTGGAGAAAATGGTACCCACTGATATTCATTGATCCTTGCTGAGTGTTTCAGAGGATGTGAGCACAGTGAGGCGGTGCATTTCAGCAGTGGTGACAGTGACATCAGCTCATCTTTGTGATGCAGCTAACGGTGGTGACTATGTTGAAAAATAGTGTTTTGTAGCTGAGGATTTACTCTATGAAATAGTGTTATTGTGCTCTTTGTTGTAGTTTTCATGGACTATGGGAGGCACTACTTTCAGTGCTTATATACTTGTGTATATAAGTAACAAAACTTTTAAGTATATATATTTTTATAAGGACATGAAAAAAAAAAAAAAAGAGCACCAGTGAGATACGTGACTTTTTTTGTGACACTGACACAGCAGTGGGGTTTGGCGGCAGGGATTGCAGTTCTCAGTGAGTTCTGACTCAGGTGCTGGTCAGAGATTTTGGATGAAATGACTCCTGTGCTTCATCCCTGACAGCTGTTCACAGTTGTGCTCACTGCCCAAAAGCGGTGACTGATACGGTGTGACTGTGAAGGGAGGGGTTACGAAGGCGTGGTAGAGAGCCACGCTCAGATTTTTGAGGTGAATGTCTGACTGCTAACCCACCACGTTCCATTTGAGAATTTGCAAGTGATGTATTCATGTCGAAAGTATACTGCCAAACCATCAATTTTTTGGAAGCCCTGAAACCTGTTCTCAAATCCCTTCATCCAAACGGGAAGCACCGCCTGTCTGTCGCTGTTCGCAGGGCCGTGCTTAGCTAACGTACCGCACCGCACACACACCGTTACGTGAGCTAACAGGAACCCTGTGTGAGCACGCTTGGCGCCGCGGCGCCATTGCACGCAGCCGCAATGGCGGACACGTCATCCCCGCCTCCATCCGCTTCCATTTCCTCCCGCTGACGCCTCCCCGCCATATTTGTTAGGGGCGCTTTTTCTCTGCGTTCGATCTCGCACTGTGCCTTTAGCTAACGTGGCTTCCCTGACGCGTCACGCGGGACGCCCTTAACCAAGATGGCGGTGGAACAGCGGCGCGGGAGGCGGGTCGTGTGGGTGCCGCCATCTTGTGTGAGGGCAGTCCGTACCGCTGAGCTGGCGTTGCTGGCCGCGCGGGGCCTGCCGGGAGAGAGCGACGGCAGGTGGGCGCTGCCGGGAGCCGGGGCTGGGGCGCGGGCCGCGAGCTGCCCCTGACGGAAAGAGCGGAACGTGGCTGCGGCACGGCGCCGTTCGCAGACGGACCTGAGGTCGCCGGAGCCTTTTGTCGGCCTTTCGTTCCGTGAGGAGGGCGGGCTGGTTTTTGCGGCGCGTCTGAGGTCGGCTTCCCTTCTGCGCTCGGAGCTGCCGCGGCCCCATGGCGACCTACCTGGAGTTCATTCAGCAGAACGAGGAGCGCGACGGCGTGCGCTTCAGCTGGAACGTGTGGCCGTCCAGCAGGCTGGAGGCTACGCGGATGGTCGTGCCGCTGGCCTGCCTGCTGACCCCGCTGCGGGAGCGCCCGGACCTGCCGCCCGTGCAGTACGAGCCCGTGCTCTGCAGCAGGCCCACCTGCAAGGCCGTGCTCAACCCGCTCTGGTATGCGGCTCTGAGCTGGGAGGGGAGGCTGCGGAGCGTCTGCTTCGTATCTCGGTGTGCCTGATGTCTCTAGGCTGGGCGGATGGGCTGAGGACGATTGGATGATGTTCAGCGTGACCGGGTGCCTGGTTTTGGCCGCAGCAACTCCAGGCATCGCTACAGGCTCGGGGCAGAGTGGCTGGAGGCTGCGTGGAGGAAAAGGATGTGGGGATGTGAGCTGACGGCTGGCTGAACGCGAGCCGGCAGTGTGCCCAGGTGGCCGAGGAGGCCGATGGCATCCTGACTTGTGTCAGCAACAGCGCAGCCAGCGGCAGGGAGGGCATCGTTCCCCTGTACTCAGCTCTGGGGAGGCTGTGCCTCGAGTGCTGTGTTTGGTGCTGGGCCCCTCACTGCAAGAAAGGTATTAAGGCCATGGAGCGTGTCCAGAGAAAGGTAATAAAGTTGTGAAGGGTCTGGAGCACGAGTCTTATGGGGAGCAGCTGAGGGAACTGGGGTTGTTCAGTCTGAAGAAGAGGCAGCTCAGGGAAGACCTTATTGCACTCTGTAACTACCTGAAAGGAGGGTGTGCTGAATTGGGGGTCGGCCTCTTTTCCCAGGTAACAGCGGTAGGATGAGAGGGAATGGACTCAGGTGCATCAGGGAAAGTTCTGGTTGGATATAGGAAAAAACTTCTCAGAAAGAGTAGTGAGGCACTGGCATGGGCTGCCCAGGGAGGTGGTAGAATCACCATCCCTAGAGATGTTCGAGACTGTGGAGAGGCACTGAGAGACATGGTTAGTGGGCATGGGAGAGGTGGGTTGACGGTTGGACATGATGATTGTAGAGATCTTTTCCAACTTTAATAATTATGGTTATTCCTAATTCCCCTTTTTTCTCAGCATAGTGCTTGGTAGCTTCTTTTAGATATAGTGAGTATGTTGAAAGCCTTGCATGCCTGGTGAGGTGTGTTGAATGCCACCTTCTGCTGAGCTGCCAGAGCCTGAGATGAGAGGTGTGTCCTCAGGGAGGCTGTTAAGCTGGAGATAATATGGAAATGGGCAATCTTGTTATCATCCTAGAGAATGTTACGGTGAATGGTGAAACTTAAACAAATATGCTGTTTATACTGGTGTTATCCTTTGGGCTGTGGTGTTCATTTGATTTCCTGCTTTCTATGCGTCCCCTTGTTTATAGGCCAGCTCCAGTATGAGTATCGGTTTCCTTTGGAGTTTTGCTGAGAAAGTAAGAGGAATAATCTTTGTCACAAAGTCATGTTACTATCATACTTCCTTAGAGCATAGCTTTGGGCTGCAAAAAAAAAAACCAGAAAGACTAGCAAGAGGAAGTAGGAAGAGGTCAAACCCATGAAGGAACAATAAGGTCAGGCTTCACTGCACTAGCAGTCAATGTAGTATGGGTTGAGGAGAGCAAACTCCTTGGGGCAGAGAACAGCTAATTTGTTCTGTGTTTGTACAAGATGTGAGTGAATGGCTTCTGCTGCTCTATGACTGTAGTTATAGGAACAGTAAGGTGACTGAGATAAGCCTCAGCATAGTGAAAGAGTGATTAGATGCAAACCTTTGCATACTGCATCCTAAGCTTTGATGATCTGTTGGTAATTGCTCACAGTAACAAGCCTGGAAGCAGCAGGACTGCCTGAGTTAATAGGCTTTCTGGCACTGGAACAGGAGTCTGAATCCCTGAAACTATCCTTAAAGTTGAAGTGTCTGGTTTTCTGTTTCTTCCTCATCATCATAGACAACTGTGAAGCTAGGTTGTGAAATTGTTCCTGTACTTATACTAACACCTCACCTTTCCCTTGCAGCCAAGTTGACTATCGGGCCAAGCTCTGGGCTTGTAATTTCTGTTTTCAGAGAAATCAGGTACGTTGAATCAGCATTTTCATCTTTTCAGAAAGCATTTTATTGGTGACCTTACTGTGCAAAGGATGTTAAAAGAAACAGAAATTCCGCCTCTCTAGATTTCATCTTGTGGCATTTTCTCTTGCTGAACTCAGGCCAGAGTGCTTGCTATGTATGAAATCTTGCTTAATTTCAGTTGCTTTGCCAGTGATTTTAATAGCATGGAGAACATAGAACATAGATAAAAAGCCATTTTATCACATGTGCTTCCAGTGTGGTTTTTGATATGTGACATTTACTGTTCTTCCTGAGTATGAAATTTATTAGATTTGGGTAGATTTTTACCATCAGAAACAGTCACGCTAAACGAGTTTTGGCTAATGTGGCTGCTGCTTTAGGCCTATTCTTAACTTACACTGGGCTGAGTAACTGTCAGTAGTTCTGGCCACTATTGTGTGTGCTTAGCAAAGCAGCAGTACAGGTCTCTGATGAGTTAATCAGGTCGGTGCAGTTGGTAGTAAATAAAGAATTGAATAAACACATCATAAGACTCTGTCCTGCAGAGGAGAGTCCTATATTTCTGCCCTGAAGCTTGTCCTAATTTTTGGTCCTGTTTTTCAGTTTCCTCCAGCATATGCAGGCATATCTGAAGTCAACCAACCAGCTGAACTTATGCCTCAGTTTTCAACAATTGAATATATAGTGCAGGTAATGATTCATAGTTTGCGGTCTCCAGAATTATATTCTGTGATATCTTTATGTATTTGTTGTACTTAAGATAATAGAAATAAGTAACGCTCATGTTAGATGCTTGAGATAGGGCTCATTTTATTCTTTGTCTGGAGTCATTGGACAGGGTGTCACCTAGCTTATGTACAAGCCTAGTAAATCCATCTCTCTCCATATTAGCGAGGCCCGCAGACGCCATTGATCTTCCTGTATGTTGTCGACACGTGCTTGGAAGAGGAGGACTTGCAGGCACTGAAGGAGTCCCTCCAGATGTCCCTAAGTCTGCTGCCTGCTGACGCTCTAGTGGGGCTTATCACATTTGGCAGAATGATCCAGGTTCACGAGCTGAGCTGTGAAGGGATTTCTAAGAGCTACGTGTTTAGAGGCACTAAAGACCTGACAGCTAAGCAAATACAGGTATGTCCTGCCATCTGTTAGGCCAGTGGCTTGTTCCTCTTAGCTCTGTTGCCACCACTGCTGGTATTTCAAGCACCAGGCTTTCGGGGAAGAAAGGAGGTTCAGTGCTCTTAATTATTTTTATGCTATTTCACTCTCAACACCTCTCCTGTCTTTTTGCTGCTGTAAATTCTTTGAAAACATGCCCAAGATAGTTTTATATATCTCACATAATAGAACAGTAGAGAAACATCTCTCTTCCTAATGAGAGTGCAGATATTAATTATTTCACATTTTTTAATTTCTTTAATGCTACAGGATTGCAGGCTTTTGGCTATATTGCTTAAAAGCAAACAATGTCTAGTATTTGATTTTGAAGTCTCATCTGCCTCCTTTTCTTTTGCTTTTCTGTAGGATATGCTTGGTCTTTCAAGGCCAGCTGTCCCTATTCAACAGGGAAGGCCTCTTCAAGCTCCAGAGCAGCCTGTTATTTCAAGCAGGTAAGTGCTACATAAACGCAAGCAGCAGAAGAGCAGGGTGGGTGTTTTATACCCTTCGGGATCACACTTCTAAACCTAGGTTTTCCAAGAGGCATTTTTGTAAGAAAACACAAATGGTGTTGTCTTGTCAGAGTTATTTCCCTGCATCAAGTGATACCAGTGGGTGAGATTTACTAGAGCGATATTTTAGCCTTCTGTAGTGTCTTGATTTTGCAGGAACATAATTGTCATTCAGACTGGATTTCTCCTTGAAAAGTATAGCGTAGCTGTCTTTAGAAAGCATGTTGTTCAGGGGTCGAACGTGTTTAGAGCAGGAGCCTTTTTAGTTGACCATCTATTGGGGCCCTTGTTTATGAGTAACAATCCTTCAAGCCCTTGCTTGAATGAGTCAAAAGAAAAACCAAAAAGAAAACACCAACAAACAAACACAAAACACAACAGTTGGTAGGCAGGCAGTGACCCCTGAACTGTGAAGCCATATTTGTCTCTGTTGAATACAGTTGTTTGTTTTTATTCTCAGCTCCTCTTTTTTCCATGGCAGCTCATTTACCTTTTGGTAGACTAAATCAATACTAAAATCCTTTTCTGTGCTTTGAGTGATTTTGCCTTCTTGTCAGTTCCTAATGGCTTCCTTTGATCAATTTTGTTGCTTTGCACAGGCCTTTTAGCTTGGGAAGTCTGGACATAAAGGAATGTGCTGTGTAACGTTTTGCTTCTGATAACTCTTCCAGTGTAATTAAAGTGTGCTAGGAACAGAGGCACACTTAAAATGGGAAAACATTTCATTCCAATTTTTCAGGTTCCTGCAGCCAGTACATAAGATTGACATGAATTTAACAGATCTCCTTGGAGAACTTCAAAGGGACCCGTGGCCAGTGACCCAGGGAAAGAGGCCTTTACGTTCCACTGGAGTAGCTCTTTCGATTGCTGTTGGCTTGCTAGAGGTACTTTTATTGCAGTTGTTTGTTAGGGATGAGCTGGGCAAAGCAAGCACCTGGCAGTATTTGCTGAGACGTACAGGTTTCAGTGCAGATTGGTTTGCAGCCAGTCACATTGAGGTGCAGCAGGGCATTTTGTCTTTGCTGATGTTTGGCATGAGTTAGCACCAGCTGGTGTAGAGCAGGCTAGGAATTTATATTTAGTTGTAAACAGCGTAAATGGTGCAGGTGTTTAAAGGCTTCTGCTTCTTATGTATATTGCCATGTGAGGGTGGTTGTATGTACTCTGATTCTTTTTGTTTGTTTGTTTGTTTTCAAGGGTCATCTAAGGTAGAAGTAAAAAGCATACTACTTCCTGTAGTGAAGATTGCTGTAGTTTGAGTCTAACCTAGAGGGTACCTGTCAAGAAAAGTGTTGCTGTTTTTCAGGTCTTCCTATAACAGAGACAGGTCCCTGATGGTATTGCAGAATAATGTACAGATTCCTCTCTAAAGAAAGCTTTGTCCTTTTAAACATCTTTTCCCTGAGTTCTAATACAAGACCATATTTTTATTTTAGGGCACATTTCCAAACACAGGAGCGAGAATAATGCTATTTACAGGTGGTCCACCAACACAAGGACCAGGCATGGTGGTGGGAGATGAATTGAAAACACCCATTCGTTCTTGGCATGACATAGAGAAGGACAATGCAAGGTTCATGAAGAAGGCCACCAAGGTAAGTGCTGTGTCAGCTGGGGGAGAAAGCACACACAGCAGCTTAGATTTGTTATGTGGCAGGGGGTGTTTAAACAAATGTGCGTGTTGGAATACAGAATGGGATTGGGAGGAAGGAGGTGACCGAACCTATGTAGGCAGCTTCCAGTATCCTTCTGTAGGTAACAGAAGTCTTATTTTCTTGGTATGAAATCAGTATGTCCAGACATTTGCATAGCTGTTCGTAAAATGCATGAGCCTTTCTGTGTGTTAAGCTACGAAAATGGTCAAAGGACGGACGAGAGTCTTACTTTTAGTTACTTGTCCAAGTGTGGTCATGTGCCTTCTCAGAGAAGGGAGTATTTCAGAGTTCTTGTCTAGCTGATGGTGAGTGGAGGTCCTTTTATCTCCTTCAGGAGAGGGGAAAAAACAAGCCTGTACTCCAAGAACTGGTGATTTCCAAAAAGTCTCCTTTTTCTCTTGACATGTGAAAGAATAGTTAGATTATTAGGTATGGAATGTGCCTGTCAGCTTAGAGGAAGCAGTATGATACCTGTCCTCTTAACTATCACCTAGAAACCCTTAGGTTTTGTATCACAGAGAGCCCATGCTTGTATGATGGTAGCAATTCATGTCTTCTCTGCACTTGCAACTTCCAGCTCAAGTTTATCCAAGGGCAAACATCCTAGGAGGAAGAACTGTGTTTAAACAAGCAGCTCTTTACCTTTACAGCTTCATTTGTGCTTTGTGCATTAGTGTGTTGACTTCAGCTGGAGAGCAGAGGAAAAATTGCCTGATGCAGCATCCTAAATATTCCTAAATATTGTGTGTGTTGTCTGTTCTCCCCAGCACTACGAGACTCTGGCCAATCGCACTGCCACCAATGGTCATTGCATTGATATCTACGCCTGCGCCCTGGATCAGACTGGATTGCTAGAGATGAAATGTTGTGCAAACCTCACTGGGTATGTATGTAACAGGAAACACAAAGGTGGTTTTGTTTTTTCTTTTTTTTTTTTTGGAGGGGGAGAACAGTTCGAAAAGCAGTTAGTTTTCTGTGACTGCAGAAGGGTGAGATTTTTGTCATTTATTCTAAATTGTGGTTTGAATTTGCCAGGAGTTACATGGCAAACCTCCCCTGATCCCAGTCTGCATTTCTGAAGCCTCAAAGTAGCGTAAGAGTTAACACTCCTGGTAGAAAACTCAATGTCCTGCTTTGGAGAAAGGTATTCTAAAGCATGATGCAACATGTCTTGCAAATGCCTTCTGTCACCTTCAAATGCCCTGGGAGGTAGCAAGTACCCTTTGCAGAACTGGTGGGACATAGATCCCCTCTGTTGTGATGTGTGTGTGACTGAAGTGCCATCAGAATAGCAGAGCTTCAGTCATGGTGGGTAGATGCTTTCATTATGTTGGCCAGATTTTCTCGTGCTTAACAGCTCATTTTGCTTTCTTAGGGGAAGTAGGCTGAGCAAGGCTCTCTTCTGGGTAGAGATGTTTGTAACCAGTGGAAACAGGAGCATTTTTAAGGCAGCTGAAGGGATGACAAGAAATATAGTTGAGAAAGCAAGCTGGCAGAAATGGAGCACTAACTTGTCTGGCTTTGGAGACATCTATGAATCTACATTCCCTAATGCAAATTCTACCTTTGCAAAGGCATGCTTTAAAACAGTTCCTGCCTGTATTTGCATGCATGAGAGTTGGAGGGGTTGTATCCTTGCTGATATACTTCTAGTTCTCAACTGTTTCAGTTACCTTATGTGGTTTTTTTTTCCTTCTCAGAGGACACATGGTGATGGGAGATTCCTTCAACACTTCTCTCTTCAAGCAGACCTTCCAGCGGGTATTCAACAAAGGGCTCAATGGGGAATTTCGGATGGCTTTTGGTGCAAATTTGGAAGTGAAGGTGAGAGATTAGTTTAATTAGTTGACATTAACTTAGAAGTGCAAGTGCTGTTGATTGGAAAAGTTTTCTAGGTATCTGTGTGTATAAAATTCTATGTCTTTGAGGTCAGCTGTAGTGCCTTCTTTGGAAAAAGCATCACATTGGAATGAGTAAAGGTATTTTTTATTTGAAAGTTTATTAAATTTGTGGTTTAAAAAAGCCAACAACTGAGCTTACATTCACCAGCTGAGGCAGTATGTGACCTTGGGAATGTACTCAAGGATGCTTTCCTTGTAATTCACCTTCTGATCAAAGCTGAGCACCTGATTTAGTCTGTTCTATTTGACTAACTTGATTTTTTTTTAAGAACTTTGATTTGTCTCATTCTAGACATCCAGAGAGCTGAAAATCGCAGGTGCTATTGGACCATGTGTATCCCTGAACGTGAAAGGACCATGTGTTTCTGAAAATGTACGTTTTCAACATGAAAAAACCAACTATATTTAGTAGGAAACAAAGGGTGCAAAATTTCTATCGAAACTGGAGCTTAGACAGAATGTGAGAAAAGGCAGTGCTTGTTGGACTGAATTCTTGTCCCATAAAGCTGCCTTCTAACTGTATTATACCCTCAGTAACTTAATCCACATCCTAAAGATAAGAAATGCAGAAAGATTGCCTCGTGTCTCTGATCAGAATTTAAAATGAGCTGACCCTAACTACTGCTAAATACTAAAAGGCTGTTTTCTTTTCAATTCTATGCAGGAACTTGGAATTGGAGGAACATCTCAGTGGAAAATTTGTGGTCTGGATCCCTGCACAACTCTGGCCATTTACTTTGAAGTGGTAAATCAGGTCAGCCCTAGCTTTTCTTTTTTTGTCTTCATTTTTATATGCCAACTGCTTGTAACAGGACCAGGAAGTCCAATGGCATCTCTTCTGTTGTGAATGGATGGTTGCAGAGTAGAAAAGTGTTTTGTGCCAAAGTAATATTCATAGGGGTTGTTCCCATATTTGTAAATGGCATCATGTTTTTACTTCATACAAAAACTGCATTCTTTCTTCTTGTCTTCTGATGGCATTCATTTCACAAAGAAGAAAATGTCTTTTTGCTATTAGGTGCTGTGGAGAATAAAAGCACAAAAGTCTCACTTCTTGGAGAATTTGTCCTTCAATTTGTTATGAGATAGCTGAGAAGCAGCTTCAGGCTGGGAAAGCTTCTGAGCACATGGTAACTAGGAGTACTAAACCAAAGGAATTCTTTTTCACTCCCACTCTGCTGCATGGGCTCCCTGTTGTTGGGAATAGGGCCCAAAGGACCTTTAGTCAGACCTTGCACTGCCACACTAATGTTCAGTGTTACGGGGATGATAAATAAGTTGCTGCATCCTTTAAAGGACAAGCTGATAAGTGTCAGGTATGGAATTAAAAATGCACCCAAAACCACTTGGCTTGTAGGGCTCTTACAAAACACAACATTAACAGATGTGTGTCTCTTCTGTAGTTTATCTCAAGCTTGAACTTAACTTTGTTCGGCAGATGCCTTGGATTTGTCTCTGTAGTATGCCAAGTCAGCCTATCTTGAAGGCTTTCCTTGTTTACTTTGCAGCACAATGCACCAATACCTCAGGGAGGCCGAGGGGCAGTGCAGTTTGTCACTCAGTATCAACACTCCAGCACACAGAAACGCATTCGTGTCACCACCATAGCTAGAAAGTAAGTACCTCATGCTGGTTCTTTGGCAGAATTGCAGAAATGTAAGCCACTGTCTATGCTGGTATTGTTTTAGCTTTTTATTACATTAATTGGCCACAGAGTATTTGGCATGGGGGAAAAAATGTGGGTTGGGTTTTGCTGATGACAGATTTTACACTAACCCTTTACTAATCCTTTAGTTGGGCAGATGCACAAAGTCAGCTCCAGCACATAGAAGCTGCGTTTGACCAGGAAGCAGCTGCTGTGCTGATGGCACGGCTGGGAGTGTACAGAGCTGAGTCTGAGGAGGGACCTGATGTACTGCGATGGCTGGACAGACAGCTGATCAGACTGGTAAGACTGATGGAGTGCACTCAGCAGCAGTCTTATTTTCAGTTAAAATGATCTCTTGGGATGAAAACACCGTTCTTTTTGCAGACTGACTTGCTTCGTTTGTGCTCTAATTGTGGTCTCAAAGTATGTGATAACTACAAAGGCTGTATGATCAGTAGTTAGTGATGGGATAGGTAAGCATCCCATCGTGATGGAAGAGTTAGCCCTTGAGAGAGTTAGCCCTTGAGATTAAAGAAGTAATAGTGAAATGATAATGCAGGTGGGAAGGGACCTCTACAGGTCTCAACACTCTGCTTAAGCAGGGCTAGTTTCATGTTACAGTTAGATGCTGTGGCTCTTGTTCAGGTGAGTTTTTATGATCTCCAAGGATGGAATTCGTCTTGTTTCTTGGTAGCCTGTTCCAATATTTGATAACAGTTAGTGTGATTTACTATTATTATTTTTTATATCCAGTCAGAATTCCAGTTTCTTCAGTTATGTGCTAGGTAGCTATACAGAGCATAATGCCAGATTCCAGACTGAGCAAACCCAGCTTTTTAGGGCACTGTTCCTTTGCCAGCATGCTGGCGTCTGCTGGCCTTGCTTTGGTATATTCATGTCTGTCTTGAACTAGGAAGCCTCAAACTGGATACAGCATTCAGATAGGATTAGGATCTCACCAGGATGACGTTCAGGGGAGTTATCACTTCCCACCTCGTGGCATTGTTCTGCACCTTCATACTGTCTCTTTCTTCAGACTTCACAGGCCTGAATTGCCAGAATCTCAATCAGTTCTGTCTTAATCTAAACACTCATGAATTTCACACTAACAGTTAGGGCACATCAGATGCTGGAAAAAAAGAGACAATATCAAATAAAAATTTGAGCACCAAAACACATATGCGTATACTGCGTGCTGAAATGATTGTGGACTCATTTGTGGTTGATAAAATTTTTTAAAATTTATAAGGAAATTGATAAAGATCACCTTGCTAGTCATGGAACCAGGCCAAACCAGCCCATAAACCTTTGACAAACTATTTGTTTTCAGTGAAGCATCTAGTGAAATTTTAGTCTGCTGTTGCTTTAGAAGGAAGTAGGAGATGCTGCAGTAGTGTTTCATAGTGTACAAAGCACATTGTGTGATAATGATCCAGTGGAAAAAAATGGGTGGTACTAGAGGCACTATTTATTTCATTCTTAAATAACTTTGAATCTGGATTCAAAATAGAAGATTTTTATATACATAAAATGATAAGATGATTGAATTGTCATTGTCACTCCAGTAAGATACAGAAGCTACTGATGATTAAGTTCTTGCTGCCACATTCATGACTTGTTTGCTCTGTTTAAAAACATACAAAAATCATTCCAAAAAAATGTTGATTCCTAGAGAGAGATAAACAAAGTATGCATTTTGCTTCCAACAGTGTCAGAAATTTGGACAGTACAACAAAGATGATCCCAACTCCTTCAGATTGTCGGAATCATTTTCTTTGTATCCCCAGGTAAGAACCTTCTTGCAACTATGGGACAAGTTTGCAAGGGTGAGTGATGGTAAAGCATCTTGTACCATTAATCAGATTTGTGAGGGAAGGAGCAGATGCTTTTTGAATTTGTTGGGTGGTCTTGTAGTTCAGTGTTGGAAAAAAATGGTAAGCTAAGAACTCTGAGGAGTTCACTGGGAGACTTTTTTCAGGGGATTTGCTGTTTACAAGGTGCAGAAGCTTTGGCAACTCACACTTCTCACTCATCTTTCTGATGCAGTTCATGTTCCATTTGCGACGCTCCCCATTCCTGCAGGTCTTCAATAACAGTCCAGATGAATCTTCTTATTACCGTCACCACTTTGCTAGGCAAGATCTCACCCAGTCTCTCATTATGATTCAGCCCATCCTTTATGCTTATTCTTTCCATGGACCTCCTGAGGTAAGTCTGTGTTTAACAGAGAGAGGTGAATCAATCCAAAGTAAAGAGCATTCAGTCAGGATAACATTAGTACATTAAAAAGGTCCTTACTTTGTTTTTCTTAGTTAAAGTAATTACTAAGGGATGAGATGGAGCACTGTACAATACAAGCTATATTTTCAGTAGGCTTACTCTTAGTATGTAAATTATACTTTCAGTGGGCTTTTAAAATACACATACGTGCCCCAAAAAAGAAGCCCCCAAAAGCTAATGCCATATCTGGCGTCTTGGCAGCTCAGTAGTGCTTCTGCTTCTCTGCCGGAGGCTGCCATCTCCACCATGTAAGTCAGCAAGCCTCTGCCCTTCCAGGTCACTAGTACAGAATTGTAGGGGTTGGAAGGGGCCTCTAGAGATCGAGCGAGTCCAGCTGCTTGCTTTCAGCTGTTTAAGCAGCAACATTCAACTGCTATGCAGACTTTATTAATTTAAGTTGACTGCAGCGTATCTGGCAGGAAAGAAACACAGAAGCTGCTGCAGAAACACTGTAAAACCTTTTTGGCAGCATTTACCTGAGTATGTGTGTTAAATCTCTTGTTTTTCTTGGCTTCTCAAGGTCATTAAACTTGATAGCCATAGAAATTGCTTTCTCACATACTGCATTTCATACAGCAGCTGAGGACCTGCTGCTTGGTTCAGTGATGCCACAGGGGGCTGATGGTACTCTGAAACATTCACATGAACAGCAGCCCTTGACCGACACAACACCCCTCTGTACATGCAAGGCTGAACAAGTTGTTCAGCTTACAGTTCAGCTGAACTGTAAGGTTAATACGGTTTTGAGGTTTTAATGATGATTGACCTTTATTTTCCATAGCCAGTGCTTTTGGACAGCAGCAGCATTCTTCCTGACAGAATCCTACTGATGGATACTTTCTTCCAGATAGTAATCTACCTTGGTGAGGTACGGTGAGATGTATTCTCTGAACTCTCCTCCTCCTGCTACACATGCAAACAATGCTACTGTTAGTATAAAATGAACCACTTGCAAAGCTTATCCCTGGCATAATGACATCATATGCCTGTTCCCAGTTGTAATGCATAAAAATCCTACTGGAGTAGTTAAGCATATGTTCTGCTGTGAGAAATAGCCATTGAGTTAGATTGCTAACTAAAATAGTTACAAAAATAAATAAATAAATAAAAGCTTTTGCTTTTTAAATACTGGCTGTTCTTTACAGCTGTTCCTGTACTGAGGTGTAGGCTCCTTCTGAACCTCCAGATTTAGATCAGTATCTAAAGCCTTGGCTTTCCAGTGCCTTTTCAGAATGAAGACCTATAGATCTGTGTTGGAATACTGTCAGGTTTTATAAGGGAGCACTAAGCTACTGCAGCTGGATGATAGAAACATCTCACACTCTTAAGAAGTTATGATGTAGAAGGTGAAGCTGGTTTGTTTCTCTCTTCTTTCTCTGGAAATATCCCTTTTATTTGATGTTTTTTTTCCCTCTCAGATTCTTTTCAGTCTTGTTTGGGGAGTACCTTTCATGCAATTTTTTCTACCTAAACATGACATCAAATCAGAATTTAAATAAGCTCAGCTTGGCTTATGGCCTTCCTGTTAGTGAATTTTTTGGAGAGGTGTTTTAACTCTTCTCTTTGTTTTTGAACTGAGCTACTGACTTTTTATGACTGTTACTAGAACGCTTAAAGTTTGGTGTGGTGGCCTGCAGCTGCTCTATTATAATCTCCCCACATTCTTCCATGTAGTATTTGTCCTCTCTGAAAAGTGAGCGGTGATACACAGTCCACACAGGCAGGAGTTGGATGGTTGAATCAATAGTGACAATAAGCCTTTACAGGTTACTTTAAACAGTGCCTACCTGCCTCAAATCTTGGGAAGCAAGAGACTCAACTGGGACCTTGAAAAGAATGTAAGGCAATGACTGTTCCACTTAAGACCAAATCAGATTTGGAATGTCACTGATTTATAAATGCTTTACTCGTTTAAGTTGAGGTAGGCAGAAGCATAATGGCTTGAAGTTCACTTTGAACAATTGGCTCTTGTACTGCACAGACTGCTACCCAATTCTGTGTTTAGTGCATGTTCTTAAGGAACAGGCAGAAACTAAACAATACTATTGACAGAATAGTGAAAGCATGTGTGTGTCCTGCTCTGTGTAAGCAGAAATAATGTTCTGCTACCTTAAGATGTCGACAGGCCTCCCCTTCTTAACCAGCACATCTTTGCTATCTCTTCATTTCCTCCCTGTCCCTGTGAACAGACTATTGCACAGTGGCAAAAAGCTGGTTACCAAGACATGCCTGAATATGAAAACTTCAAGCATCTACTGCAAGCTCCACTGGATGATGCCCAGGAAATCTTGCAGACCAGATTCCCAATGCCACGTTATGTCCACACTGAACATGGGGGCAGCCAGGTAAGGAGGTTTATCCAAAAACCCTCTCTGTTGAACAATGCAAATCTCTGTCTTTTCTTACTTTACTAAGTAAACTGTTCTGTAAGTTAAACACAGTGGTTATTTAGCTCTTAAAAGTAAGAGCTTGTATATTTTCCCATGAGCTCTTAACTCATCCATGTCTTCTAATAAGCCAATTGCTCCTTGCATGTGTTTTTGACTTCTGAGGATGGAAAGAGAAGGGGAAAAAAAAGGCCAGTGTAAATATCTTTTTATTCCTTGAGTGGTGGGAAGTAAACAGTTTTGCTGTGTACCTAAACTTCCTGAGACAGGGAGTGCAGTTAGTTGGCTAGGACAAACATTCAGTCATTCTGAATGTTTGATCATCTGCTCTTTTATTCTCAGATGCCAGATGAGAATATAAAATGGTCTCTATTTTGACTCTTCCTGGAATTACAGTAGTTCAGTGTGTCTATTGCTAGCCTGTTGTTTGTAGAAGTGAAGAGGCAGGAATTGGTGCTCCAAAACAAAACTTTATTAATTTCTGATGTAAGCATGTTGCCCTGATTCTCCTCTAACCTCTTTTCTGTTGTATGGAAAAGGGCTTATTATAAAAGTGAAATTGCTGATGCCATGTCCATGTTGCATGAAACTAGAGCTGCCCTGCTTGACAAGCATCGCTTGCTATAGGAGAGCACTTGGAGAATCTTAAAGGTGATGTTACCATTTTGAAATGGAGGGCAGAGAGTTTTCTCACAGAAATCTGCCACCACCAACTAACTCCAGAATAACAGTACGGAAAGGAATGCAATCAGATTCTTTCTCTCTTTACAGCAGCATACCCTGACTTTTAACTTGATTCCTCCTTTTCCTCTCCCCAGGTTTCTTCCTCAATCTTACTCTGTTATGTGATGTTCCTTAGCATTATTTCTTTCAAAACAATTTGTAAAACTGTAACACGTTGTAGGAGTACTGTTGTCTGTTCCATGGGAGTCACAGCTGTGTGGTAAAATCTTTCCCAAACATTTATCCTTTCAGAGCACTGCCATTAAAAGTAAGCAGATTCTTATTTTTAAGTCCAGTGAAATTGGTTATGAAACAAAGCTATTTCTGAACTCAGAAACTTGTTTCAGTTCAACAAGTACTTTCCTTGTAAAAGAAGGCGAGCATTGCCAGTCACGTATCTGAGGAGATAAGTCTTAGGGGAGCTGACATTTCTGTCATACTGCAAAAATGTTTTTCCCACGTTTTGTCTTTATAGGCTCGATTCCTGTTGTCTAAAGTGAACCCTTCTCAGACCCACAATAACCTCTATGCATGGGGACAGGTAAGCAATGGAAGAGCCACTTGTATTTGGGAATACTGTAAAATGTACATTCAAATAATTGTCTGCATAGTTGCTGTCCTATTTTATCTCATAGTATTTGGCCTCAGGCTGGGAGCAGGTTGTATTTGTCCTGCTCTTCTTATCTAACAGCTTTTTGCAAGATGTACATGGTTGGCTTTGAAAAACTTTGAAATAGTGTTTTGGAATACAAGGAAACAAGGGTATTCTGTGCACCAAATGATCTGTGATGTAATTACTGTCTGACATTGTAATAGCTGTAGCATTTTAAAAGACAATCGAGTGAATAGGTTTGTCTCTTACGCAGCTTAGATTCTTACTCATCCTGATAATTGAAGTCCATGTTTGTCGAGATAAAGAGTTCTAGTGGTGAGCACTAGATTACACTACGTTCAGAATAAAGTTTTCAAGCCTGGATATGATGAAACGTCTGCTTCTGTTCTTGGATGGAATTTCCTCCAGATTTTCAGCATATTGTGGGTTTTTTTTTTTGCTTTTTCTAAAGGGTGGCTGTCCTAGTAGAGGTGCTGCAGAACAGGCCAGTACCTCAGCAGCCTGATGACAGCAGGAGATCAGTGGTTTCCAGCAGCAGTGCTTTTGTCCCTGTCATCTTTCCTGTAACCAAGTTACCTAAGTAGTGCACAGGTAGATAAGGAGAATTTATTTTGTGGCTGCTACTGATGGAAGCAGCTGATAGAGAAACTCTTACGGGTTTTAGATGAGCTGATGTAGAAATTGATATTTGCCTTCTGTTACAAATCTGATGTAAAATCCTTAGTCCATAGTTAGTGTATGTAGCGTACAGATACGTACAGATATGATTTTTCTATGAATAATAGTTTTTAATGTCTTCTGCCTTGTTTCTGTAGAGCCTTGAGCAGAAACCTTCCTAATGCATTAGAAGGAAGAGACATTTCTGCAGTAGTGCAGGTGGCACTGAAAGATACTGTCAAATACTAGACTACCCTTCAAGCGGAAAAGGTTTAGCAGGCAATGAGCTTAGTGCTGACATTTGCTTTGCTTTTGCTTAGTTCCCAGGGCCAGCAGCGCTATTTCATGCTCGTTATTTATTTCCTTAATTTCTCTGCAGGAATCAGGAGCCCCCATCCTGACGGATGATGTCAGTCTGCAGGTGTTCATGGACCACCTCAAGAAGCTGGCGGTCTCCAGTGCAGCGTGACTTGATTGAACCCAGCGGCACAAACGGGAGAGTGATGTACATTGCGGGGATGATAGAAGCGGAACGATTTATTTACATTTCCTTTTAGACTAAGGTTTTTAAGTATTAAGTGAAATAAATATTTGGGGAGAGCTTAGTACTTTGCCCTTCTAGATATTAATTTATTTGTATTCCTTTTTATCTCTATTGTTTACGCTACTTTTCTCATACTGTATTGGGAGCCAAAGTATGTTTTATCTGGTGTAGATCTTTGCAGCCTTAGCTTTAATACGTAATGATCTCTGGCTTTAGGCAACCAGGGGCTGAATTAATGGAAAATAAAACTGGATAAGAAAAGCATTAATGCTGAGTGCTGTCCCCCATTGAGCTGTACGTGCGTTTTTGAAAACACACCGCCAGAGGAGGTACCAACAAATAATGCCACTCGCTGCTTCTAACACACGGTTTCAGTCGCGGATCTGAAGTTTTATGTGGAAACAAAGAGAGACGTGAAGAAAATACAGTGCGGAACACTTCTGAGGCAGAGCAGACGGGCTGGAGGTCGGCGTGCAGCACCGTGCCGGAGGACACCTTCTGGCTCCGGTAAGGCCGACGTCCCCGCGCGCCGCCATCTTCCGCTCCCGCCCCTCAGTTTTAGCGCATGCGCGGCTCCGCGCACGGCCCGCCGCCATCTTTCCGCCCCTCCCCGAGCCGGGGCGCATGCGCGTAGCGGCAGCCCCGCGCACGGGAGTTGCTGGGGGCGATGCGGGCGGCGGTGTGGAACACGCGCTCGGCGCTGCTGTACTCGATAGGCGGCTGGACCGTGCTGGGGGGCGTGCTGCACTACAGCTACAAGAGCGGCGGCGGGAACGGTACGGGGCCGGTGCGGCCCTCTAGGCCCCAGCACGGCGCCTCAAATCCCACCGCGGGGCGGCGGCGGGGCCGGGGCGGGAGGGAAGGGCCGGGCTGAGGGGCCGGCAGGGGGCGGGGCCTGGCCCAGGCGGGCGCCGCACCGGGCGGAGAAGGAGGCGGGGAGTCTGATCGTATCTGTGGCTGCTGCCACGGCTGGTGGGAAGGATGGCACGTTTTAATGCGAAGTTCTTTCGTTTCGTTTTGTTTTCTCTCCCCGTTCGTTAGAGGACGAAAGCGATGATAAGGCGAACGAAGAGCTCTCCAGAGATGTGGTTACAAGTAAACCCATGGGGTTACACGTCACCACCGTAGTGACGTACCACAAGGAATTGCCTCCTCTCACGCGGCTGCTCCGGCGTATGACAGCCTACTTTACTGCCAGCAGTAGCCCTCCCCCTTCTGAGAACTGAGCAGGCGGAACGTTGTGCTGTGCAGGAGAGCCTGAGGACGTGGTCCTGCCGTCTGGCACCACGCTGTCGGTTGGAGAGGTTCTGTCGCGTTGTTGAAACAAAACAACAGATCCCTGTCCGAAATTCCTTTGCCAAACTCACAGGCTTTCCTGCCTGTTCACATCAATGCTGTTCTTTGCACATGTACTCAAATTATTAAATGTGAACTAGGTTCTGTGGAGTCTCGTGAGATGCTGGTGAGCTGGAGTGCTGCCCAGGGGGCTGGCCAGCTGCCTCAGCAGCTATTTTGTGAAGGTTTCCCAGCATAGGGGCAGCTGTGCATGAGCTGCTCTCTCAACCCGTTGGGTCCAAAATAAAATGTTAAAGAATTTTTAAGTGGAAAGGAATGCAGTTTAATCTTTGGGGTGTAAGAGCTGTGGTCATCCTTCAAAAAGAAGCAGACAGGGTGTACAGCTTTGTCCCCTGATGCATGGCTACCTGACCTTATACCCCCTTTCCCTCAGTTTGCTAAATCTTTCCGTAGCTCCTCTTAGAGCTGCTGTTGCTTCATAGGATCTTAATCCTATGCTGTTGCTTCATAGATCATAGGATCTACATGCTGCCTCCCCTTCTAGGGTGCTGTCTGCCTGCTGTGACTGTAATCTTCCTTTCTATACGGTTTCCCCCAGTCCTTGTGGACATGCTTCCTTTTCAGGGGCTTCTCCCAGTCCCTGCAGGCGCTGCCTCCCTTCAGAAGGAAGCTGCCGGTTTCCATGGGTACCTCTGGACGCCTCATTCCTGCAGAAGGGAACGGTATGGGTGCGCTGCTACCTCCAGTTGTTTTTTCTATAGGCGCTGCTGAAAAAATAACGAAAAAAAAAATTGAAAGGCCCCACCTTCAGAGGAAAGGAGCCCCTCCGCACCGTTCTGTAGGCATTCGGTCTGTACGCAGCCCCGTTTCCATAGGGGCAGCCTCTCCGTAGGCTCCGCCCGCACTGCGGCGGTACCTCCCATCCGCCAGGGGGCGCTGCGAGCGGCGCGGGCCAGCAGGGGGCGGCCGCCGTTGCCTAGCGCCGCCACCTCCCCGCGCCGGGCCTGCGCCGCGCCGCCATGAAGGCCATCGTCCAGCGGGTGGCCCAGGCCAGTGTCACAGGTCAGTGCGCGGCACCGGGAGGGATACCGGAGCCGGAGGGGCGGGGGGAGAGGAGGCGGGGGCGGGCGGAGCGTTGCTGAAGCGTTGCTCCGCCCGCCCCCGCCTCCTTCCCCCCGCCCCGCGGCCGGGCCCCCATCCGCGCTCCTCTCAGAGCCCCCCTCGCTTCGCCTTTGTTGGCGCGTGGCTTTCGGTTGCCCCGGCGCTGCTGGCGTGTGCTACCAGCGCTGCCCCGGCCGCCTTTCTGTGCCGCCCGCGGCCGCTTGCCTTCTGTTTTCACCGCCGTTGAGGAGCTCTGTGCTCAGCGGGAGGGTCGGAGCCGTGCGTCGTTCAAAGTCTTATTTTAGAACGAGGACTAAGAGGCCCGAATAGAAGTGACTTTCTCGCAGCTGCTGCGGGGTGCTGCGGCGCGGAAATGGGGAATGCCCACTGAGTTCAGTCGGGTCATTTTTCCTAAGGTTGGAGAGTGTTGTGCTGCTGCTGTGCTTAGCGCTGCTGGTCCAATTGTAGGCAGAAATCTTCATATCGAATGTGGAGAGTGGGGAGTGGAGATCAGTGACAAGTGGTGTCTCTCAGGGGGCACTGCTGGGACTGGTGCTCTGAAATATTATCAGACATCAGCAGTGGGTTTGAGTGCCCCTTCAGCGAGTTTGTGGATGATGCCAAGCTGTGTGGTGTGGTTGACGTGCCCAAGGAATGAGATGCCATCTAGAGGGACCTAGGCTCCAACAGTGGTCATGGGTGAACCTCATGAGGTTCAACAAATTCGTGTGCCAAGGTCTTGTAACTGGGTGATGGCAATTCCCGCTATCAGTACAAGTGGGGGGTGTATGCATAGAGCACAGCCTTGCTGAAAGGGACCTGGGGGCACAGGTGGATGGCAAGCTGGACATGAGCCAGCAATGTGCCCCTGCAGCCTAGAAAGCCAACTGTATCCTAGGCTGCATCAAAAGAAGCGTAGCCAGGAGGGCAAGGGAGGTGATCCCACCCCTCTGCTCTCTGTTGTGAGACCTCATCTGGAGTACTGCGTCCAGATGTGGAGTCCTCAGTACAGGAGAGGTGTAGACCTGCTGGAGCATTCTCTAGAGGAGGGCCACAAAAATGAGCCAAGAAATGGAACACCTCTCCTACAAGGACAGACTGAGAGCTGGGGCTGTTCAGCCTGGAGAAGACAAGGCTCTGGGGAGACCTGAGTGCGGCCTTTCAGTATCCAGAGGAGGGCTGTAAGAAAGAAGGGGCCAGGGTCTTTAGCAGAGTCTGTTGTGATAGGACAGGGAGAAATGGTTTCAAACTAAAAGGGGAGATTTATTTCAACATAAGTACGAAGTTTTTCTAGTAAGAATGGTGAGACATTGGCACAGGTTGCTCAGGGAGGTGGTGGATGCCCCATCCTTGGAGACATTCAAGGTCAGGCTGGATGGTGCTCGGAGCACCTGATCTGGTTACGATTCTATGATCTCATCTTACTTGTTTTTTTTTTCCCCTTTCCCAGTGGGTGGTGAACAGATAAGTTCAATAGGACGAGGCCTCTGTGTGCTGCTGGGCATTTCTCTAGAAGATACGCAAAGAGAGCTGGAGCACATGTAAGTCACGTATTTCCTTTCACTTTCTCTTCTTTTACTTGTGCATTTTTGATTTGGTGATACCTATTCTGTAGCTAAGGAAATGAGGCACTCTTTCTTTTGGAATATGCAGGTTTGCCTGTGTTAGTTCCTGTTCAGACTTTACTTGGAGTGCTAATATTTAATTAGAGTTTGCTTTTTATGCCCTATTCATAAAAGCAGTTTTCCATTTCCTGTCTATGTGGTTTTTATCACAAAAAGACTTAGAGAGGAAGAATCAACACATTGTTTTTATTTCTAATCTCCATTATTTGAATATCTGCCCTTTTTCTATAAGATTTTACCCTAAAGGCCTTCACTCTTCATGTTTGAGATATATCAGAAACCTCAGACTTCTCACATTAGTTTGCATGTGAGAAGTTCTGTTCTTTCAAAAGACTGGGCAATCTCATCAGTTACTTTTCTGTAAAGATTAACTAATTTTGGCAGCCCAGAGGTCTGACTCTGCTATCCCTTCTATGGCCACAAAGTATCGCAGTTCTACCACCCAACACCTGCAGGGGAGAGCTCTCCAGGCAGATATTCTATTTCTTCAGGCTTTTTATCATTCAGGGACTAATCTCAATTCTTATGAAGGCAAAGAAGAAACAGGTAATAGAGACAAAGACCTATTCAAAAAGAGGAAATGCTTCTTCAAGCAGTGAAGAGACAAGAATGTGAATGAGGGTGAAACATCTCCAGGATGAGGAAGAGAAAGTAGAAAGTGAGGGTGCAAACTAAAGGTCTATTATGGATCTCACATGTGAAACTTGTAGAAAATGCTCATGACAAAGCTGAAGACACTTTTATTAAGACATTCTCCTATGCCTTGTCTTACTGTTTGTCTCTTCAGTGTGTAACATTTGCTCTCTTGTTTCTCATTACTACTTTGTCATATGAAAGATGCTTCTGAATATTCCAAGGGTGTGATCAATAACAACTGTGCTCACAGCACCAGGATGTTTGGAAAGCTGGGAAAAATGGGAAGCTGATGTCTGAAAACAACAAATAAGAAGAAATCAGCTTAACCAGTCTCTTCACTTGCTATTAAAGGAAACTTCAGTAATCTTGTAAATGAAACAACAGACAACTTTGTCATTAAAACACAGCAGTGATAATTAATTAAGTCTGTGTACCAGGCCTATCAAAGCTTTTAACCACCCACTTACTTCATTTCTGTTTGTCCTTGGCATGCAGTAATTGGGAAGGATATATATGTATATAATCTGACTGTACCTTAGTGATGGGAAAGCTTGAAGCTGGTTCATAGTAAAGTTGCAGCTTTGTTTTAAGCAAAATGCCTCACTTCTGGTGCAGCGTAAAAGATCTGGCTGATGGCTGCAATTGAATTGCTTTGCACTCGTTGCACTTAATTGTTGCTAGATGCTGAAGGTGTGAAGCTAAAAGAATAAACAGAAGTCTGGAGAGTGATATGCATGCACTCATGGTATCAGAGTTGAACCATAGGTGAGGTTGCAAGACTGCATTCGTGAAAGTCCCCTGATCCTTGTCGTCTTAGTTCAAGCCAGTCATTTCCAGCCTCTACCTCCAGGAACCAGCCCTAAGGACAAGTTCCAGTCCCTGCTTCGCTGCCACCTGTAGTTCTGCACTGCTAACTGCCTTCCTCAGCATCCTAATGAAGAAGTGCTGTCATCATCTGGGCTGTAGGGTCGGTCTGTGAAGAGTGCGAGGAGGAGACAGAGGAGGAGATGTGAATCGTGTTTGGAAACAAATATCATTTAAGATGATCTCATTTCATTTCAGTCATGCTGAGTGTGATTTGCCTGTGCAGTAGGAGGATTAAAATTTCCAAATTTGTGCATGTTAAGTAATGCTCTGACATATAAAATCAGAGAGTGAAGAGTAAGCTTTTTTACTTACAGCACCATCTTTATGACACTCTGTAATGTGCAGTTGTTCTGTCCTGGTCTTGTGCTCTATAAAAACATGAAGTACAACCAATGGCTTTCTTAGTTATGGCTCTGCCAAATGTGAGGAGATCTCTGTGATTTAGGAAGGAAGGGACAAAAGAAATATGTTATGTGGTGGCAGAATGAATGTGTGTCTGCCATCCTTTTATCTCTTCCAGTGGCAGGTATTATCTGCACCTGTTGATCCTTAATGGGACAACTGAGAAACTTCAGAAATCTTTTTCTTCTCCCAGGGTTCGAAAGATCTTAAACTTGCGAGTGTTTGAAGATGAAAGTGGGAAGCACTGGTCCAAAAGTGTGATGGATAAACAGTATGAAGTGTTGTGTGTGAGCCAATTTACTCTTCAGTGCATCCTTAAAGGAAACAAACCTGACTATCACATGGCAATGCCCACAGAGCAGGCGGAGAGTTTTTATAACAACTTCCTAGAGCAGCTAAGAAAAGCCTACAAACCAGAGCTTATTAAAGGTAAGGGCAAAAGATTGGTAAGGTCCTTGCTGTGACCAGTGGACTGTGTGTGTATGTGCTTTTCTGTGATCGATACTTTGTTTTGTGAGTTTTTGTCTGTGCTGCAAAGCAGCTGTCTTTATGCAGCAGTAAGGGAGGGGATGTTAGGTGATCCACCTGGCCTTTCTCTAGGCACACCATTTCCTGGCATTCCTCTAGAACGCCTTGACATTTAGATGTTCTCGTGTTGTCAGCAATTGTTCAACAGGAATGATGATGTAACTCAGAGAGGCTGTGACTATGAGAATAAACTGCGATGCCAGGCTTGCTAGAATTTGTGCTAGGCTTTGTGCTAGAATAACCCAGAACATTTCTTCTGAGACTTAGGTGGTTAGTCAGGCGCAAAGGCATCACCAGTGTGTGATGAACAGTGCATCTCAATCTGGCACTTTATTTTTACATTTTGATAAGTGGTAATGATGATAGTGGGAGGTGTAATGTAGTACTTGAAAACAGCATTTCATTTAGAGTATCTTTTCTCAAATATATGCCATTTATGCAACAATTTTCTCTTCACCAGAAAACGCCTGGCTTCTCTTTGCTTTTGTTCTCTATCCACCTTTTCTGCTTGATTTCTGGCCATTTGCAGATTTAAACTTGAATTTTTGGTACAGTTGTCCAAAAGACAAGAATCTAGAAGTGTGTGTGTGTATGTGTTTGTTTAAATGAATTATTAACAGACTGAAGTGGAAAAATTGAGAGAGAGAGGCAGAAAACTAGCTAGAGAAAGCTTTGGGTACTCAGCTTCATTTTGACTGTTGTTGATACCCAACCTTGTCATGCAGTGCTTTCCATTGAGGCACAGTGAAATGCATGTGTCAAATGCTTGTCTGGTGTCAACCTTCCAATGGCCTGATATATTCCTCCAGTCAACATTTGTTGATGACAAGGAATGCGCTTCTCATATCCCTTCTATGCATCCCTTTTGGTTCATAACATACAACTTATGCTCTGAATTCATTAGACCAAGTTCTTTTTGAATTTTAACTTTCCTGAGAAGTCAATGGGAATAAGATTTGCTCTGCTAAGATTTGATTGATTTGGATGTTTATGTCCAGGTAAAGTTAAAAGCAAGCATTTCACTGAAAAGAGGCCATAAAAATGGATATATATCTCTACGTATCTACATCTTTCTTCTTGAGATTTGGAAAATGCTCAGTTTCTGCTATGCTTTCAAACGTTTTGTATTTTGATAGCAGCTTTTTAATCTTCTCTTTTTAGGCTCAAACAAGCCTTCTTCTTTTTTACTTTTAAGTAAATACTAGACTTCTGGCAGACTTATAGGACATGGTTGGGTCTGGAATATCTCCCTATGTTACCAAATTCTGGCAAAGCCTACACTGCAGACAGGAACACAGGAGTTACTCTGTCAGATTGGGATCAACCTGCAAACCAGTGTTCCCTGTTCTAGGGTAGTCAATGTCAAGTGTTTAAAAAGGCTTCTTTCAGTCCCTTGTCCATACGTAAGATTTCTTCAAACCATCAGCATGGCTAGCTGGACTAGAGCCCTAGACTTAACTGCTACATCCTTTACAGTTTTAGCTCCTACCTGAGAGAGCTGTCCTACCTATCCTAAACTGTGAACAGCATGATTATCTAGTAGACTAGTTCTGTTTTGTGAGCAAATGGACATCTTCGTACTTAGCTGTGCATTTATTGTCACTGAATCAGAGCACAGAGCTAAGTGCATGTAGACTTTTTTTTTAGTGTTTTTTTGCACTTTGTTAGTTGGCTGTTATTTCCTCTGTCTTTCCTCTTCCTTTCCTCCAGTAGCACATTTGGGAAAGATTTTGGTAAATCACCATTTCCTTTTCTTCCCTTTTCAGATGGCAAGTTTGGCGCCTACATGCAGGTACACATCCAGAATGATGGGCCTGTAACAATAGAGCTGGAGTCCCCAGCTGCTGCTGTTGACCCTAAACAGGTAAGCAAAACAGAGAGACTGTCTGCAAGAAATGGGTGTCCAGGTTATGCCTTCACTGCAGAGGTGTACATCTGCCTTTATGTGACACAAATGTGTGAAAGCATTGCATCATCCCAGGGAAGCCTTCCTGATATGAAGCAATACAGCTTCCCTTGGGCATGACAATTTTATGCTTTCCACGCAGCCTCTGAAAAGTAAAATAATCGCGTAGTTGCTAAGGTATCTTGGTTTGGAGTTGGTTTTGTTTTACCTTCAAATTCTATTCTGCATCCTTTTGTGATGTTTTACCCGAAGAGGAACTTGCCTGTTCCCTGTCTGAAATCTCACAGCTTAGCACAAAGTGTTATCAGTCCAAGCTGTACATAATTAGCAGCAGCAGCAGCAGCTCTGTGTGTGGATTAACAGCTGCTTGTGGCAGCACTCACATCCCCTCTCAGAGGAGTTGAGCTGTTGCTGATTTACCCAGGAAATAGTGTGTAAAAATCTGGATGGCAGAGAAGAAAGCTCCACTTTGAGCTCAAGAGCTGTCAAATATTCACCTCTATCAAAACTATTACTCTATGTTTTGGGCAACTCATTCAGAGCAAAGCAATGTCGACATAGTTTGAAATTTGTTTATATTTATCAGCAGTGTCTCAGCAATGTAAAATATCCACGGTACAGTGGCAGGAAAGAAAAGTGACTTTCTGTGGTCTAAGGACTGTAGCATTTTTGTGTATTGTCACAAGGAATATAATCAGAAACACTTGAAATATTCCAAGACATTTCTGCCTTCTTCCATGCTTCAGAAATTCAGAAAGTGGGTCAGATGAGATACTGATCCCCAGAGAAGGATAGCACAGGTACTGACTGCTGGCAGTGGCAGGGGGTCAGTCAGAACAACTGATCTCAGTTGGTGTTTTTTAGATAAAAGAGTCAGCATTTGCAGGTTTCCACGTTAGTCCTGCTACGTCTGCAGTTAAGACTGTCATAAGAGGGTGAGAACTGCTGATTCTAATCGTGTGCGCATTTTTTGTCTGTAGTGTAACTGCATGTCAAAGCTCAAGATAGAGAATGTCTGATCTTATGTTACAATTTTGAACTTTTGCTTATGCAGACATAACTACACTGCACATAGAATCACAGAATCATTTAGATTGAGAAAGGCAATAGAGACTGTCAAGCCTAACCATCACATAATGCTATGAAATCCATCACTAAACCATGTCTATAAGTGCCATATCCACACATTGCTTAAATATCTCCTGGGATGGGTACTCCACTACCTCTCTGCACAGCCCATTCCAATACTTAACCAGTCTTTCCCTGAAAAAATTCTTCCTGATATTCATTCTAAACCTCCCCTGACACAACTTGAGGCTGTTTCCTCACATCATGTCATTTTTAACCTCAGAACAGAGACCAGCAGCATCCTCACTGCAGCCTCTTTTCAGGTAATTGTGGAGAGAGATGAGTCTTTGTTCAGGCTCCTCTTCTTTAGACTAACCATTTCCCTCAGTCTCTCCTCACGTGTTCTGTTTTCTGGTCCCTTCACCGGCTTGACTGCTCTTCTCTGACTGCATTTCAGCAACTCAATAGACACAAGTAGTTCATGATAGTTCTTCAGATGAGATGGATGTCAGCATGCTCTGTATTTGTGTGAAAAGCATTGGTTTCATTGAACCAGAATTGTCTGCCTGAAGTTTTCTTCAGTGTAATACCAAAAAGTTAGTTGCCCTGATTTTTTTTTTTCAGTCTGCTCTTTTCTGACAGAGTGCTTTTACAGTGTCCTCTTAAATTACACAAGCTCTCCATAAGCAAGGAAATGAAAAAAATTAAGAGATGTGTAATTCTTTTATTGCCTGCATAATAAAGATGAGTCTGTATTTTGTGAGTACAAAGAAATGTATATTTAATCTTTGTGTCTGAACTCTAGTTCATAGACTGATTGTGCTGCCTGGACAGATTGGAGAATGCACATGGAGATGCGTACGAATCTTTACTCATTTCAGTATTATTTGAGTTTCAGATGGATGAAACTACACCTACAGATTTTACCTTTGTTATAATTTAACAGAAGGCATTAGATCCATTCATGATAAGACAAGGATTAATACAGCTTATCAAATGATCTTCTTCTCTCATATAAATGAACTTGTGTCATTTTTCTTTGGTCAGCTCATGCTCACGTGGGTGTTGTCTTAAATATTCAATGTTACAGCTCCTGTTTTTTCTCTTCCACTGTTAAAGATGTTGCCCTCTGTGGGAGAGATTGAGTAGTCATGCCTAGAGCCTTGGGGATGCTACAGGGCATGGATCTGGATTTATGTCTGAACATCTGCTGTTCTGTTTGCCATCTGTGTTTCTGCACTGCATTGTTCTCAAACTAGTTACAGAACTATGTAATTTCTGAGGTCCCCTGTAGTAACCTTAGAGACCATCTGTTGCATACTCTTTACTCTAGAATATGAATACTACAGAGATTTCAACAGAGCATACGGTCACTTTGCACATAAGAAAATATGTACATATATAATTGCATATATTTCAGCAGTTGTATTGTGCTATTTGCCCTCAAGATCATCTTGGAAGATGGCCAGTATAGGGATGTTTGAATTGGTAATACATGTTATCGATACTGGCATGCTATTGGGAAAGCTCTCATATATTGATCCCTTTCTGCCTCTCTGCAATATGTATGAACAAATGTATATCATGTATGTGGTTTCTGTGTCCTATAATGTGAGGCTTTTTGGTTTTTCTTTCAATTGATAAGAGAGAGAAGGATACTATTTAAAGAACAGTGGATTTCTATGTTAATTAGTAATCATGTAGTTTACAGAAACTATGAAATTTAATATAGAGATAAATTACAGACCAACATGCTACTCAGACATTATTTTCTGCACTACTGTTAGTGAAGATCACTGCTAGGAGCCTGGTGCTGCAGTGAAAATATGGGGTAGACACTGCAGTGGCTGTTTCTAGGTTTGAGGCAGCAGGTTTGACTTGATTTGGCTTTGTGCTGGGGGATACTCTGTAATTACTGATAAAACTAATTAAAGATACTCTGTGTCAGCTTGGAAGTACACATGTACAGGTGTGTAAGGATGGTGTGTATGTGGAATAAGCTACAAGGGGATGCTGTACATCCTCTTGAGGCTTCTTGTTCTGTCTTCAAAGTTCATACTGACTCACAGCTCCGATTTACATCTTATGCATCTTCCACAAGCCAGTCTAATACATAATCAGCACACATACCTAACTTACTTGATTCTATGACTAGTACGCTTTATCTTGGGGGAGTTGTCATGGAAGCACCTGAGAAAATCAGAAAATGATGGAAATTAACCAAACTGATGAACTACACAAAGTGTCCATAGTGATTTAAGTGACTCTCAGTTTGTAGTGTCCCCAAAACTTACTGTAGCCTGCTTCTCTGAAAAATGGGAAAGAGATGTAAAAATAATACCAGCTTAGTTTGACTCTATTAGGAGCACTGAAAACATTAATAAGGGAGGTAGCAAGGCAGTGCTAGCTGAAGGTTTTGTCCAAGCTGATTTGAAATGGTTATTCTATATCCTGTGTGATGCTAAGGTTTGGATATCTCTTTTTCTGCAAAAATATAAGTATTCTTGTGTACTGGGTGGCTGAACTTGAGCTATTCTGTTATTAGAAACCTGGCAATTTCAAAACTGCCACCCAAACAGAACAGGAGCTTGGTGGAATTCATCTCCCCCTTTTGGTCCTTGTGTTTTATTCTTTCCCATGTTGGCAGGATATGGTGAGCAGTAAAGGAGCTCTGGAAAGCAGAGGAAAGTCAATCCATTAGGGAGATGATTATGTTGTTGCATGGTAATTCACTGTTTTCTCTAAATATTTGGCAATCCAAGCCTTGTTGGGTTGTTTGTTTGTTTCTTGTTTTTTATTATTGTTTTTTCTTTTCTGTCTTACTGATCCATGCATACATATTATGAATTGAGATACAAGTTTGCTGCAAATACTCATTTACAATTTTTTAGAAATACTGTCTTCTGAAATCAGATTATTTCAGAAGTGTTTCCTCACTGTCCTTGCTTTGTGAGTAGCTGGCAAAACTTGAAAAGCAACAACAAAGAAAAGAGAAGACCAGAACCAAGGTACCTTCTGAGTCAAGTAGAGAAAGAAATGCCCCCCGTAACAAAGATGACCCCAGTGCAAGCAGTGGAGCTGAAGGAGATGTGTCTTCGGAAAGAGAGCCGTAGCTCATCCAAAGCAGGCCTCAGGTATGGCTTTTTGTCCTCCCATTTGGCAGTCTCAAACCCTGGGTGCTTTACCGAAGCAGTACCTGGATTCTGCTGAGAGCTGCATTAGAAATGTTGAAAGGTGAAATTCCAGTAATGCTACTGGTGGGTAACCTCCTTTTCGATCTGCAGTTGGCCTGCCAGAATGGAGATGTGGGTGAAGACCCCTTCCCAGCTGTGTGTTTGGCTGGAAGTGTGCATCCTGAGTCTGGCCTAGCTGTGACTGTTTTCAGGCTGAGACTGCAATTCTAAATGTTAGTCTTACAGCACAGCAGTGACTTAACTTAGAATCCCACTTTGTATTCTTCAGAGCTGAGATGCATGATTTCTTTTGTCTATACCTAACAGCCTTGTCACTGTGGAACAACCCCCACTATTTGTAATACCCTAATAAATAAATAATCTCCAGTAATGAAAGTGGAAAATTGGAAATAGGCCAGATCTGGAAGCTGCAGCTTTCCTTTTTAAAATTATTTTTATCTTTATTTTTCTAAAATAAATGTGCTGTTGTTGCTGATTTTGAGCTTCCAAGAACCCAGGAAAGTATTATTTCCCTCATCTGCACAATGGAGCCCTCACTTGGCAGTTTAAGTAGGAACAGCATTGCAAAGTTTAGATCTAGCCTTTCCCTCATTTTCCTATCCCTAGGGTGCAGTCCAGCCATATGATTTATACTCTTCAATATCACACATCACTCAGATCTTTCCTCTTCCCTCCCCTCCCCTCTCTCCTCTTCTCAAACTTCCTGAGTGGTAAGACTGAGGCGTGATGTCTGCTTTATAGAAGTCCATATTATTACCTGTACGATAATAATTTGAATTAATTTGAATAAGGCATGTTGAGTAGATTTCTGGAAATACACTGTATTATTTTGGATTGACCTGGAAAAAGAATCAGAGAAACTTTCAAATCCACAATTATTTTTTTTTTCCTCTGGCCTCATGGAGAACAGTTAAAGAGTGCTGTGAAATGGTTTTGTTCATTAGATTGCAGATAATACTGGGTTGTCATGTGAATACAATAACTGAAATCACATGAATTTTGCTCTCTTAGGCTTTATGCTCGGTGTACCTGTTTCAGTATTGGAGATGAGTAGTCACATTGGAAAGGAGAAAAGGAGAAAATTTTCTTAAGAAATTAAGCAGAAATGTACTGTTTCTCAGCAGCTGTTGGCCTAACTGCTGTGCTACAGGAATACAAGCTTTTGCCCACTGTTTCTGGGTTTTATGTTGATATAGGAACATTTTAGAGAGCAGGAATTTGCATTCTAGAGTGCTCTAATCAGACTGACCTTTCCAATAGCACTTGAAAATCCAGATTGCTGAACATTCCTAAAATGTTATAGCATTAAATATGTGCTGTGACAGTAAGTCAAGATACTTTTCTCTACGTAAGTTGAAGGAATCCTGTACTTTTATGCTGAGTCTCCAGTAGTATTTCTGTTTGTTTGCCTTCCACAGTTTCTCATACAAAAGCTGCACTGGATCCTTGAAGAGAGACCTAACAGACATTCACCTCAGCACCACTCTTTGAGGACTTTGGATAAAAATGGAAAATGAAAAAGCAGAGCTAAGACAATAGAAACTTACATCATTCTGTATTGAAACAACCAAAGCAATGCTATCAGATTCAGTTGTTAGTGTGTAGTACCAGTAGTAAAAAGGACTTGTAACATTTCTGTGTATGTGTTTTCACATGACTGCCAAATAAAGGATGGCTGTAGGCAGATTGTAGATTCACTCTTGGTACATAAGCTACATTTCGAAAACAAATCAGGGTTTTTCCTTAAACTTACACTTGAATTCTAAAAATCATTTGAGCAAGCTTGTACTTTGATTGCAGCTCTATGATGTCATGTGCTATCTGTTTCCATCTCAGCATGAAGGTCTGTGTATATTTTGGCATATTGTTTAACTGCTATGTAACACCAAGTTAGGCAGTCTAGTCTTTCTGCATGGATTAAGTTATTAAAAGGAAAGATCAGACGCTAGTTGTTTATCATAAGAAACACATCTGTCTTGTAACTTTTTTAAAAACAGAAAAGACTTTATTAAACAAATGATGCTAGCTGAGTGCCTGTTGGTCTTTGTATATTACAATGTGTGACATGAATGACGCAGCAAAAGTAACACCTGTTAGTGCAACTCATTCACCTGTCATTTGGAAGCTTGGAAGTCAGGTTGCTGCCCTAAAATGTTTGCTCTTTACAACACAGTAAGTCCTTTAGATCCTTCATGGTGATCATGAAAATCTGTCAGCAGGCTGCTCCGTATGCTGCACTGTGCAATTGTTCACATTTATGTCAAGTTAATCAGGGGCAGAACAGCTTTTGGAAGCTGTCAGCAAATGAGTCAGGATGCAGTAGGCTGTGAAGTTACTCTCCTTCAGGTATTAAAAGTCAAGGGAGTTACCAAACTGAGGCAGAGAATACAAAAGTCTGTGAAGAGGAATATCTTTGTCGTCTTTCAGAGGTTGTAGTACCTTTTATAAAGTGCATTCTCTAGGGCTGTCTTAGTCCTATTATCTTCCCAAGCCACCTGCTGTGAGCAGGATGCTTACTGTACAGCTCTTTACAAGATTTTGAGGTCAGCACACTGATAATAGCTGATTGGAGAAGCGCAAGGAGACCACGTAGTCTCTTCATTCAGAGAATGTGTGTTTGAGCAGGGAGCCAAGCAGCAGGTCCTCACATCTTTGGCTAACAGCCATCACCTTCTCTCTGCTTTAACAAAGCTGGAGCTTGCCTCCCTTGAGAAGTATTTGTGATGCTATATTATGTGGCTTAGAAACTCACTATGTTCCATTTTTTTTTCTTGCATATAGTAAGCTTCAAGCAAAAAACAGACATTCCTGTGGTCTGGGGGCTTGGTTGGTTTCTAGTGCCATAGTGAGCTTTTGTTGGCTGTTTGTGAAATAGATTAAGATCTTAGTTGGAAGGAATATTTTTTGTTCCTCCCCCTCTGCCCCCCCCCCCCCAAAATGCTGAAAATGACCTGATTAACAAAAAGGCATGTTTATTTCATATAAATGTTAAGGGACAAAGTCATGAACGATAAGTTTCTGCTTGTTCCCTTTTCTACAGATTTAGACTTATGGTCTTCATTTTCCTGTTCCGATTCACAAAGCAGGGAGTTTTGCCGATGTTTGCTTTCATGTGATTTACGGGCTAAAGTCAGAAGATGATCATCAAAGAGGTCTGTAGACAGTTTTTGCTAATTATAATAAAGCAGCTCTTCTTCCAGGGACCCTGCAATGTCTGATCTCCAGCTGTATGCTGGCTGCCCTCTGGCCAAAGTCCTGCAGGGAGAGCCTGGATATTTTGGGGAGAACCCCGTAATCAAGTGGTCTACAGCTATTTGTTCTGGTGATAATACTTCACAGGTGTTGATGGAGTCTTACAGATTCTTTTCTGCTTTCACCTGTGCTGGTGCTGCTTTCTTTGCCTTGCACTGTATTGTGATGTGAGGTCAGGTGAAAAACATAATCATCAGTGTGGAACCTCAGAGTGCTGTGAAAATTATGAAGATGCCAAACAAGGGTCAGTCAGTATTACAGACTTCACACACAGGATCCACCTCATTCTAGTGTGGCTTTAGTTATTTACAGTTTGATGTGTTTTTTACAGCTCCTATACACATACGAGCTGGTCATACTTTAGTAAGCAATTTTGCCTTCACAACAAATACACGTGTGAAAGTACATGAAATATCCTTGGTATGATTTCTGCAAACACCTGGTAGTGTTTCTATGCGAGAGAGGTCTGCAAGAATATTGCATTGTTTTTTTAATTTGAAATTGAAAATTTGAATTTCCCAGCAGGTACCTGGGAGAGAATATAAATCTGGATACAAATATTCTCTGTAACTTCTGTTTTAAAGAACTAGCTAACAGGGAATGCCTGCAGATCATTCTCTGTTGAAATCAAAGTAGTTACTCTGTATGCTATTGGTCTTGTTTTCCTTTTGAGAGCATATTCTCAATAGAAAACCCCCAGTGATAACTGGAATTTATGCTGTGAGTCCTTTGAAAATGTACTGCTAATTTTTATTGTCTGCTTGTGTGGAACTGCTGTGTCACAGCCTGAGCCACTGATTGAGCACCTGGAGAAAGGACCTGGCAGCACAGGTGAAGGCAATTCAGCTGTGTGAGCAGAAGGGGTGGAGCCTGGCTGCACCTCTCTTAGATCCCATTTAAGGGCTGACTGCTACCCGGGGAAGGTTCTCTTGCTAGAAATCCTGCCTCTGTGGAGTCCTTCCTGTGAACCTAGATCTTCAGGTACAGGTGAGCATTCCTTCCTTGTTTGTTTCTTTTCCTATTTTCACCATGATAACCTTTCCAGCTGTAACACCAAGTGTAATACTGCTGTAACCAGAGAGGAGAATTACTATGATAATATCCTATTTCAGAAGGCATTTTGCAAATGTTCAATTTCAATACCAAATAGACACAGTATATTGCTTGTTTGAGAAAGTGTGCAGGAAGCAAGAAGATCAACTCTGAACCTTATGATTCAACATGAAAGCTTCCTGGATAAGTCCTTAATGCTACTTTCTGTGCAGTAAATAATCAAATGCGCTTTGCCATTTCAGATCTCATTAAGTCTTTGTTAAATTGCTGTATTAGATCGGTAGATTTATTCCTGCTTCTCCTTTACAAGCATATAGTTTTCATTTGTGGTGCTCTGGCTCTGCATCCCCTGACACTTCTCCAGCTGTGTCTCCTGGAGTAGGCCTGCAGTAGGCGCCAGGTGTCTGCTGCTTCCTTGGCTCTGGTCAGTGTGCCCCTGGGAAGGGACACCTAAGCTCTCCATGCCTCTTTGCCTCCTCTCTGATCCCCAGACCCTGATGACAGGCAGTAAAATTGATCTTGTCTTTTCCTACGGCTTGAGTAACTGCTAATTCATGAGTACTGTTTTTCTTTTACAGTGGTATTTATTTTAATTAAGATCTATTGATAGCAGATTGTTCAATACACCTTGAAAACTTAGGGTAAAGCATCTTCAGCTGGATCACGTTTGATTACATAGTTCTGCTTGGCTGCTTTAGTAATGCTAGGAAAACTGAGGTGTAACCTTCAAAACTGTGCTGACTCTTTCTTGTAATCCCATTTATCTGTGTATTCTTCAAATCTACTCATCTTAAAGTTGTTCTTTCTACCTCCTAGTTCAAGGAAGGCTTTTGGTAGTGTTTCTTATACTCTATCCTAATGGCTTGATTATATAGTTATACTCTTTAGAAAACTCAAAATTTATGTGCTATCAGGTTTTAAAAACTGATTTGAATGTCTTGGATTTGAAATAGTCTCTGTATGAGAAAACACAATCTAAAGCTTTTCTGCCTTCTTTCAAAACAACTCAAAAACTGGTTCAATAAAGAGACTGCAGCAGTATTGTGTGATTGTGTGTCAGTAATACCTGACTCAGTAGTTTATTGTACAACTTTTCAGAACTAAAGACTAAACTTCCACAAGCAAACAAACCTCGAGTTATGTTGTGGGGCTGTCAAGTATGGCAAGATTGTCAACTATGATTTTCATTTTGAGGCAGTGATTCTTATTTTAATAAGACAGATGTGGAATGGAGATTTTGAGTTAAAAAAAAAAAATTCAAATTTGTATTAGTTATGCCACACATGAAAAATAAATTAAAAAGAAAATCTAAACAATGAGACACAGATTTTCAAAGTCAGGAGGAATAAATAATAACAGGTATAGTGTGGAAGGAAACCTGAGTAGAGCAAACACAGAAACACCAAATGTGTATCCTTAGTCGTTGTAGCTGCTTGTGCAGGTGTGGTCACTTCAACAAATATTGCATTTTCTACGTAATGAATGTGTTTTTAGAGCCTGTGTGATGCCAGTTATGCTCTGCTCTCTACTGTTTGTTATGGAAGTTTTGTTTTCTCTCCTAATGTGTTTGTGTTCTTTGTTGAGTAGTAGCTGAAGCCCTGAGTAGGGGTGCGTGTTTACCTGAAGTTATAAAGTTCTCTTTTCACGGTATCCCTTGACTGTCTCTATAAGGAGGTGTGAAGGTTAATGTCAGCACTTATTATGTTAATGGTAGTTTTATGTGATCGCAAAAGAGCTCTTCTGAACAAAACAGGTGAAAGAGCACAACTTCCTATTTCAGTTGGGTAGTAATCTGCAGAATGATGCTTTTTTTTTCCCTTGAGCTATTCTACTGACTTTATTCTTCTGCCTCACTTGTCTGTCATTGCTAGAGCTCAGTGGAAACTAAAAATGATGGTTCTCAATATATTCTAGTGCATTTTTTTCTCCTCTATGTGCCAAGCCTTCAGTAACAGTAATACTATTCCTATATTAGCTGCACAAAACATTCACGTTGACCCATCTAACAGCTTGTTTCTTCCAAAAGTAGTCACCACCTACTTTTCTGACCCTGGTGCTCTCCTGGACCATTGCTGAGCCAATCCAGCTTGTTGGTGGGAGTGAACAGGAGGGAGGAGCCAAGCAGATGAACTTGGCTATTTTGTCTGACTGTGGTTGTCTTTATTGTAGCTGCTGTACTAAACACAACCTGAGGTCTTGCACAACAAACCCTTGTTCCTTCATTGCCATCCTTGATGATACCATAGGAACAGAGCCTGAAAGGGCCCTGGTGTTTGAAACTGGGAGGCAAGAGCAAGTTACTGCTGGATGTACTAAGACCTCAGTACTTAACAACACAGTACACAAGACATTTTTAAACACTGGTTGCTGTTCATTTTAGGAACAGAAGTGCATGAGTGTCACTGAAGTCCAGAATAAAGAAGAGGAATGTAAAACAACTGATTTTTTTTTTTTTCTTGGTAGCAATGAATAACTTAATTTCATATTGGAAAATCAACATAGCTTCTGTGCTGGAAAGACAGTTAAGCTAAGTTTTAAATTCACAGTTTTTAATGTTAGTAGCAAAAAACCATGGTTTTGGTGTCTATTTCAATGCCAGCAATGAAATAGGGCAGCCTGGTGCTGTGGAATCTATCTGCCTTCCCTTCAGTCAGCCTCATCGTCATTGGGCTTCTCTTCAGAATCATCGCTTTCATATTCCTCGTCCTCATATTGGAAAGCACCCTCAGCTTCAGGGTCTGACTGACTCTCCTCTTGCTGCTCATGGGATCGATCAGACTGAGAGCTGGGTCTTGACCCATCCTCTTCTTCTTCATTCTCTTCCTCTAGGGAATGTCTGGGCAGAAGGCCTGCCTTTGCTTCCTCCTCCTCCTTTTCCTCTTTCTGCTCCTCTTCTTCACAGTGCTGGTTGGAGGTGGGGTTGGACCTGGCCTCCCCTGCACAGTGATGCTGCTGAACTTGAGGGCTGGCTTGTGTCTCTTCCTTCCTCTCAGTGGATTCACCATCTGAGATGGAGGTTCTGATGCCTATTCTCTTCTCTTCCTCAAAGGATTGCTCAGATTGAGGACTGATGCTGTCTGCTTCCTCAAAGAATTCCCTTTCTTTCACTTTATACTTGACTCTGTAAAGACAATTTGTATGTGATTTTTATTCTCAGATGAAATGCTTTTCAGTAGGTTTTAAAAGACTTACACGCTCAGGTAACCTAGGGCCAATCCTGGCAGTCTTGGCTGGGGTAGAACTGGGAAAGAGGGAACGCTGGACTCTGCTTTTATGATAGAAAGTAACAGTACTGCTTATGTATTTCTTTTTTCCGTTGCCTTCCTGTCATAATACCAAATGGATATTGAGAAGTATTTTCTAAGGCTTGTATTAAAAAAAAGTAAAGGTAATGAAAAATGAAATGATTTCTCAGCAACCTTCCTGAAATCTTGGTTAAAGGAACAAATTAAAAATATTACTCTTAATTGTTCTTTCAAGTGCATGGTGTATAACATATCCAGTGCACTTCTCTGACTCGTGAAACAATAGTTAATTCAGGAAAAAAGCAGTACAGGAAAACTAACTACACACACTAAAATATTTACTTGGGAATACTGCAAATAATTTTCTCAGCATTAAAAATGGCTCTAATTACTATGTATGCAGCGGCAAAACCAAAAACCTTCTGTGATCTCTACCTTTCTTTGGCATCAAAATCTTCAGCACTGTAGCACTCTAGCAATTTAGATGTTTGTCCTTTCTTTGAAACAAAGTCTGGGCATACCCCCAGAGCTCTCAGTCTGTTAGAATAATATTTTTCTGCAGCTATTCTGGCATTATTCTGTAGGAAAAACACAAGGGTTAAGTATGAGCTAAATGCCTATCTTCAGATACTTTTGCTTATATTAATACTGTTTTATTATTTGCATGTGAGAAGTTAAATTATTCATTGCAGTTAAGAATGGCAAAACTACTTGAGAACTTCATAGCATCTTCCTCCCTTTTCTGTACTGGTTCAAATACAATTTGCTCCCTACATCCACTGATAACAACTCCAGATACTGTATACTGCTATTGAGGGAGCGGGGAGAAGGTGCAGACCTGAAATATCAGCTGTGTCCTTCCTAGGGCTGCTTCTCTCTGTGGGAGCTGCTGCTCTGAAACATGACATTGATTTACTCTTACAGCACTGTTTGATGCACTGCACAAATCTGAATCTCACTGTGAAGCTGAGCGGTAAGCTCTGATCCTCGAGTAATAGCTGGGTGAGGAGGCCTCATCCTCCAGCCTTCATGCCTGCTCCTGCCCTGCAGCAGTGCTGAGCCAGGAAATCCACCCAGAAGGGATGAGAGAACTGGTGGGAATGGGCCACCTATGTCCCGCTGCCTCTCTATTCCAAAAGCAGTCAGGGACTGTGCTACCTACCAGTGCTTTGTTGTACTGAGACACAAAGATGAAAATTCTGTCTCAACTTTACAGTAGACGTGAAGAATGCTCAAGTTCTCCTAGCATTTCTCTCAATTTAAACCTCTCATTTTTGCTGTAGATTTGTTTGACTCAGTGCTATGTGTGCTATAATTGAACCAGAGGATGTCCTTAAAACATCTCACTTCCCTGTGCAAATATGCTATGAATGCTTAGACACAAAATTAATTTATAGGAAGATGAAGCAGTAGAAATTAAAATGGGCAAATACTAGTCTAAGTAACTTCAAATAACTTCTAACAGTGTGTGACTAAAAGTTCCCTATGCAGTAATTGGAGATGAGATTAAGAAACAGACAAACAAGACAACCTGAGTTACTCTTTCCAAGAGCAATGGCCTTTGGTTTACTCTTTCTTCCATTTCTTGTAATTCTTGCAAATACTCCTGCATTCTCTGCTTTGAGGAGTTCCTAAAGTAAACACAGTACAACAGAAATCATTTGTTTATAGTACAAGTACTTTCTTACAGCCAAAAGTTGAATTGCTCATGACAAGTATGGTCCTGGTTAAAAATGCATAAGATATATTATCTTATGGTGGAATTAGGTTTACTGCCCCATTTTCATGGAATGATAGAATGATTTGGAAGGGGCTTAAAGCCCACCCAGCCCCAGCCATGGGCAGGGCTGTTCTCCCCCAGCTCAGGCTGACTGGGGCCCCATCCAACCTGGCCTTGAGTGCCTTCAGGGATGGGGCACCACAGCCTCTATGGGCAGCTGTGCCAGGGCCTCACCACCAGAACATCAGCTTGGAATGCTGATGGACAAAGCTATTTCTGAAGTAGTCTTCTTGGATAAGCAGAGAGAAGTCCTGCCCATTGAAGCCAACAGGGGCTGCCTGAGTTTAGTTTCTTAACTTATATTCTTAATATTCACACTTCTGCCTTCCCCACCTCTTTCCACATTGTCTCTGAGCTTCTGCAGTAGGGCTGTGCATTAAGGCAGTCGCCATTTTGAGGGAGCAAACTTCACTGTTTGCTTGTTCTCTCAGAAGAGCCCTTACATTCACGTACCTCATTACCCAGCCTGTGCTGCAGTAAGCATTGTCAAGTTGAGCACTTGTGCCAACCTTAAACCATCAGCACTAGGGAAGTAGTTGTGCTTTGTAATAGTGTAATACTATATGCAGAGAATAATTAATTGCAAGTGTTTTACTATGCTCCTAAAATCTGATGAAATACTGTAATGTGAGGTTTGCTGTTGAATGAACTTAAATCAAACTCAGATGATCCTATGGAAGAAGAAAGTTGTGTGAAGCCATACCAACATCTACTAATCCCACCCTGCAAAGATGTTTGGTAATTCCTCTATCCTTCTTCCAGGCTGTTTTTTAATCTTATTTTCCTCCTCAGTTCATTTGTCAATTGGAGGCCCCTCGTGCTCCTGACATGTAACATGGAATCCTGTACTGAGAGGTGTTAGAATGGGCAACAGTTTCCCAGCTGAGATCTCGCCACATTTATTTGTAACTAGCTGTTTGCCCAGTGTACAGTTTATCAGGGATGTTAATTATATAAACTCAGACTTTGGGTTTTTTCTTCATTGTATGCTAAGCATGCAATGAAGCCAGAGAGGTTCAGGATTCAGGGAATGCAATGAAATACCTGAATGCCTTTAGTTTGGATTCAGAGACCTGAGCAAGGCTCTGATGGGGGTCATTGGCCTCAGCCCGAGTCGTTACAATTTTCTGCAGTTTTTTTGTTCTTTGTTTCTGCTTTGTTCTATTTCTTTTCTGTTGTTCTTCCAGCCTTCTCTTTTCCTCATGTGAATTCCTGGGTGGAAAAATAAACTAAGGCTGAATTTGTTTGAAATCAAGTACAGGACTTCAAAGGAAGTTTTGGCAAAGGGAATTTGAAGTATTTAAAAAAAAAAAAAAAAAAAAAAAGAGGAAGGGGGGGATGAAAATGGGATTGGTATAAATGGGTATGTGCCATTGTAAGGGACTGGGACATATCCTGAGAAACTGCGGCCATTTCTCCCTTTCCTATGGATGGGTGCAGAAATGTGCATTACTGCTTCTAGGAAAATCCAATAGTAGTAAAGTCCCGCATTTAGTCTAAGGACTTAACAGTAGTATACAACTGTATGTATTAAGTCCCATATTCACTGCATGAAAGAGTTAACTACACCTGTAGAAGGACAAAAGAATTCTCTCTAGGTATTTATAGAACACAAAGCATCACTGCAGCAGTCACCTTAGGGCCTGCAGCCTTCGTTGTGAGGACTGTGTGACTTTTGGCGACTTGGATTCTCCAGACCCTGAGAGAGGTGAATTTGCACTTGACTGTCTGGTTTGGGGTTTGCGTCTCGGAGAGGCGTATGGCCAGCGTGTTTCTTTTAGCCTTTCTTCATCCTCCTGAATGTCTCTCAAAACCTTCCCCTTGTTTGAAGGAATGTATGGAGTACGGAGATGGAACGGCTCACAGACCGTGAGGTGTTTCACCTGCTGCTTCTGCCGGAGCCGTTTCTGAAACTTCTGGTGTAGTCGGTCAAAATCTGGAACTCTGGGTTGGATCTTGGGTTTGTGCTCCATTTCCTTTGGTTCAGCACACTTGTGTTTCTTCTTCTTGTTGACATCCTTGGGAGCCAGCCTGCTGGTGGGCAGAGATGCATTTCGCAGCAGCTCCTCAGCTCTCATTCTAATCCGGATCTCTCTGTAGAGCTCTTCCTCCTGTAGCCTGTCTCTGACAGACGGGCTATAAATGTATCTGGGAACTGGTTTTGCTTTGAATGGTTTTGTTTTCTTTGCAGGTGTGGAAAGGTCTCTTAATTGCATTTTTCTAATTTCATCCCTTTGCTTCTCTCTTTCAATGAACTTAAATGGTTTCTGAGAAGCCAAGAGCCTGAGTTTGCTCCTCTCCTTCACAGACTTCCTGCGCTCCTCATTCCTTTGCACAATTTCATGGTAGAGCGGCAGGAAGACGGCAGCAGGCACTGGAGTGGCTCGGAACTTTTTCTGACACTCTGCCTCTTCCTCCAGCTGCTTCTTCAGTAGGTTATTTTCCATTTCGATCTGTGACTTGGATTTGACATTCTGTTCTTTTTTTCTGGCTTCTCTAATTGTCATCTGGAAGGGCTTGGGCACGGTGATTTTTGGTGACCATGCCTTCTGCTTCCATGTTGTCCTGGCAGCCGCTGCGCTGGGCAGGCTGTGCTTCCTGGGGGGGATGTAGTCATCCACTGAGAAGCCATCCCACATCCTTGCAATCCGTTCCTTAGCAAATAATAATGATCCAGTTTCACTACAGCTGTCCTCAGATGCTAGTTCTTTGTCGGACCCACCGGATGCACCTGAGCCTAAGGGATTGCTTATGCTGGAGTCAGAGAAGGATCTGGGCAAATTTAGAGGCTGATATGCACTCTTCTCCCAGGTTGGCCTTTAAAAAGGGGGGAAAGAGAAGTTGGTTTGAATCCATTCCAGCATTGATTCAAAGGCAGTAATCTGTTTTCAATGCCCTCACTAGAGGGAGAAAGATGAAGAGCACTTGGAGGGTAAGGAGAGAAGGAAGGGAGAAGGGATAACTTTGGTACGGACACCAGATCACAGTTACAAAGGAAATCCAGGCAGGGAACAAGAGAAAGCACTGTGCTTTACTGAACACATTGCCCAATTTCTGCTGTGTGCACACTTGTTAGTCTGACAGCATACTAGCAAGGTGAATAAACGTTTTAATAACTGAAGCTAACTTTGTTGTAATTATCTGTTTACAGGAAAGGAGGAGAGCAGCAGTTCCCAGCTGCAGTACATACCTGTACTGCCATCTGCAAAGATCCTCCAGACCAAAGGTACCATATAACTTACCTACAGCAGACCTTGGAAGTAGCACTGTTAGCATTGCTCCTCTCCAAGGGCTGTACTCCTTGTAAATACAGCTTGTTCCGATACATGCTTTCTAATTTTGCCATTGTCTCCAAGTGGGCATTCTTCAGCTCTTCCAGCTTCAGGTAATACTCCTGGTTTGAGGTGCCCAGCTTGGAGCAGCCTGTCTGCGTGTCACAGCCTGGGGCGAGGGGCTGCTCTCTGCCAGGGCCCGGCTCTGCACCCAGCTCCCCCTAGGATAGAGGAGGGATTTCTCTGTCAAGCTTTCTGACTCGGAAGAAAGGGGAATGAGGTTTTTAGTGCTGCTTCATTTAATTGTCTCATGAATGAAGCACTACTGCCGAATTTCATACCTGTTACCTACATGCAGACTTTAATGCACGTTGCATGGAACAATCTTCCTGCACAGTGACTTATGGCTTGAGGCTGCTGTTTAAAGAGAGTTAAATAACGAAGTTTGTCCCTGTGACCCCTTATCCTTGTATTGGGAATTAAGATCCAAAAGGATTTTTTGGAAGGAAAAAACCCTTATCTTGCTTAGAACGCAGCTCTAAAACAGCCTTAACCGCCCCCCCTCCGCTACGGTTCTCCGCCGCCCGTTTCCATAGCCACTGTAAAATGAAGCCTTAGCTGCTCCGCGTAAGCTCCTTACAGCTCTGCGGCCGGCCCATCTGCTCCGTTACCCACCGGGCCCGGCCCGACCCCGCCGCTCCCTCCGTACCTGCGCGCTGTACGGCGGCCCCCGCTGGGCTCGGGCAGCAGGCAGCCGGCAGTGCGGCTGCACGGCAGCGCGGAGGCGGGCGGAGGGCAGCGGCCCCGCGCCGTGCGGTGCCTCCATGGCTGCGCGCTGCCGCCGGCGGAGGGTGGAGAGGCGGGGCCGCACCGCGTCGGGCGGGGAGAGGCGGGGCCGATCGGCCCGGAGCCTCAGGGCCCGGGACCGCAGCACGCCGGAGGGGGCGGTGAGAAGGGGCGCGGCTGGTTCCGTTCATTGGTCACCTCCCTTTCTAAAGCGTTCGTGCTCGAGGTAAACGGGGGATTACTGAGTAGGGGTAAATTAGGGTCGCGAATAGTCTTTCACCTCTCCGAGGAAGCATCATTGAGCACTTGGTCCGGTTAGCGTCATGGGACGGCGTGCACGTGGAACGAAACAGCGGGAGGGCAGCAGGCAGGGCTGGGCCACAGCCCAAAGGGGGGAATGAACACACTGTAACTGCAAGGAAAGCTTGGATCAGCTAACAGCTGGGGGCTGAGGCACGTTAAAAGATGGAGCACTGCTGTAGTAAACTGCTGTACGAAGTGTCAGTCATATTGAACACTAATCTAAATGCTAGTTTAATTCAAACCATAGAAGTTGACCTACTTTCTAGTGACTCATAAAGCAAAGACTCAAGTAGAGTAGTGCCTGTTTATTGATAAACAGCATTTTCTTTTTGAAACCAGGAACTGTATTAAATTAACGTGAGAAAAGTACATAAGCCTTTGTGGACTTTTTAAGACAATTCACACAGGCGCTTTTGGTGAGGAAGCTGCAGCTCAGACTACAGCTGAGGAGCTCCAGAGCACAGTCCCAGCTTCCTTTATTCAGCTTACCAAGTGTTCACCTGCAAGAGCACAACAGCACATGTAAGAGGTCCACACAGTACATTAACTATTACTTTTTTGCTTATATATTGTTTTAGTCACTGTAACATCTTGCTTTAAAGTACTGCTTATGCCAACAGCAGTTTCATTTTCTCCTAAGCTCTATTATTAGATGACCAAATGGTATAAATAGCATGTAGAATGAGACAGCTGATCATGTAATTTGTGTTTCCATGTATTCTGGCATTCATAAAAAAAAAAAGACGATACAAGCACTACTCACCACATCATCAATCTTAAGGATACTGCGCACAGTTTCTGTTGCCAGAGTCAGTGCACTCACAGACACAAGCAGTGGCTGGACTACCAATTCCTCCAGGATGTTGGAGATGCCACCCTGCAAGATAAAGTTGCTTTCACTTTGTGCAAGTGAACCTACAACTACATTTAACAACTTTTAACAGAATCCTGAAAGTGATGTTGTGCTAAGTTAGACTACCACCTACTAGTTTGCACTCCTCAGTTCCTAACAGGAATATTACTGTAAAGGTCTTCTGCTGCTGAGTATTTGACATAGGCACTCAAAATGAGCCAAGAGAAAAACCAGACATAGCTATTATTTCTCTCAGTACTAGTTCCTGGAAGAATTTTGTTCTCTGTGTTTTAGACTTAGGTAGTATGTTTTTCTTTTAATATCCTATTTATTTAAGTTACAGAGTTCTATATACAGCTTCTTTATTACCTTTCTGACATTAATGCCAGCTGTTTTCTCTCCTTGAGCGTGTCTGTTCCTCAGCTCTGTTACTGTTGAGATAGGATTGAGACCTGCATTTTCAGCCAGTGTAGATGGTATGACTTCCAGTGCGTCCCCATAGGCACGCACGCAGTACGAGTCCATGCCCCTCAAAGTGCGGGCGTACTCATTGAGGCGCAGTGCCAGCTCTATCTCTGGTGCTCCACCTCCTGCAATTAAAGCTCTGGAGACAGAAATTGAAGTCAAATCTCAAGTTACATAAGTCCGTAAAGAGCTTTTTACATTAATATACTAAATTATTCTGGTCAAATGAACACGTTACCTTTTCTTAACTAAGCATCTAATGACGCACAGGGCATCGTGAATTGAACGCTCAGCTTCTTCTAAAACGAGTTTGTTGGATCCACGTACCACAATGGTTACTGTTTTTCCAGGGTTTGTGCAGCCCGTAATCTAGAACAGAGCCAAACAACAGAAATAAGAGAATAGCCTTCATCTGGTATATGCAACTTCAGTAACAGTATTGAGGTCTGCTGAGCAAAACCACTATGCTTCACAAGCCAGAGGCTAGGCAGGGATGACGATCAGGTACTTCACAGCCTCTTAGTACTTACATTATTACTTTTAAGTTAGTAGTTGTTATTAAAACAATTGGCAAGGGTTAAGAAGGAATTAATCTTCCGTTACTCACTCACCTTTATTAGTTTTCCAGAACCATTCAAGTTGACTTCTTCTGCCAGCTCAGCAGAGCCCAGCATGTCAGGAGTAAACTGGTCAATATGAGCAACAGGCTTAGTACCAATGGTCTGGAAAAATAACAGTAGAAAAAAAATATATAAATAAACTTAATCTGAACTGCAGTGTCAGCAGGCATGCTCTACACTTATACTTCAGTAAAATGCAGTTACAACTACTGCTCTTACATCCACCCCTTATCTTTCTAAAACTGGGACAGCTCAACAGAAGTGGAACATCTTTCAGAGAAACGTCTTGTCTGCCTCTACACTACATTCAGAATGTGAGATTTGTTAAAGTGTGTAAAAACTGGCACTGGCTGGGTACTTGAGTTTTGGTGCTGTCTTTATACATGACTTAGTTTAGTGAACATTTATGTAACTCACTTTACCTTACATATAAACTCAATGTCTTCTCTTTCTATGTCTTTAACCACCATGATCTTCATTTTGTTCAGAAAGTGTAGGGCGAGGTCACTAAGAGCATCCCTAAAAACAAGAGGTGAGTACTCAGTCCAAACTTATTTTAATAACTGGGTGAACATGAGCCACTTGCATGCTTCTTAGCAGTAATGCTGAAATTCTTCAGTCTATCTCATAAGGATATCATTAAATCCATAATATATTAGTGACAGCACTAGCATTGGTTGTGAGAGTGACAAATTGTGTCTGCAAATATCAGCAAATACATTTGCTGATATTTGACTTTCACTTTCCAGGACTGCAAACAATTCCAGCTATTCCCCAAATGACCACAGCAGGTGAGCAAACCAGCACTGACATACCGCAGAATAGACTTCTGAATCAGCAGCACATTACATCCAGCCTTCTTAATTTGCTTAACTAAGTTTAGAATATAAGCTCTTTCTTCACGCAGTACTCTGTCCATTTGAGCGTAATCAGAAACAACAATTTGGTTGTCCATCTATTAAAAAAGAAACATCAAGTATCATGAACAACTGCTCGTTTTAAAAGCATCAGGATGCTGTATGTTCTTTAATAGCCTGTGATTTAAAGTACAAACAGATTACAGTAAAATGTACTATTAGAAGTTGTTTTATGAGACGTACTGGACTTCTGATCTATTCTTTCTTATATCAACTACAAATTCTTTATATTTAAGAGTTATGAGTAATGTGAGTTCTTTACTAGCAGGCCTTCATTATAGCTGTGATATAGAGCTGACATTACCATATCTTAAACAAGGTTTTGTCCTTACATTTACATTTTCCAAGAACTACAGCAAAAGTTCTCACTTTAGTTGCAGTTAAACTTACATCTGTCTTTGGAGCAGAGAGGCAGAACTGAATTAGGCCAATTTTGGCTTTTTCCACTCTAGTTACACCTGTGTTTGCCACCTTCTGAGTCAGGACTAGTCCTTCCACCAGTTCACAATCATCAATTGTTCCTCTGCAAGCAAAAAGAATCCATGACTCCAGCACTTTATGGAATCTGCTTCTCAAAGACATAGGCCTATAGTTGCAAATTGTTTCTTACCCCAACTTCTTCACAATTTTAATATCTCTGAGGTCCACACTGCTTGCTGTAGATGGGTCAATCACCTTCATCACTGCATCCACACTCATGGGAGAAAGTAAACTGGAATACTGACACACAACCTAAAAGATTTAATGATGAAAGGGGAAAAAAAAAAATAGTCAGTGATGTGTGACTTAGCACTGATCATCAACAGGTAGGAGTTTCTCACTGTATTTTAGCTTGACTTGATAATTTTAGTAGAACAAAATTCCCCTCCCTGTCCATCAGCCAGGTACCTCAACATGGTATCTTCTGTCCTCTAAATGGAAACACCATTAAGAACAGCTCCACTGGTGAAAAGAAATAAGCTCAGGGACTTTGGGAAACAAATTTTACTTTACTTCTGGAACTTTTAAAATAAGCCTGCTGAGAGTTCTGCCAGAATGAAAACGCACTTGTAAAGAAAGGACTGTATGGAGAAGAGGACAATTTCTGCTTGTTTCACAGCTATTGCCTCTGTAGGGAAAAATCAAGAGCTCAGAAATGCAGCCATTCCAGAACAAAGCTTGTGCAAGCAATTCATCTCCACTTTTTGATGCTGCTTTAGGAATTTTTGTCTCACAATTAAAAACTGCTTACATGAAAAGCTGGCAAAAGCTCTCCCTATCCCATCTTTTCTTTCTGTTACTGTTTTCATCTTAAATCTGTGTATGTAGTTTATACTTGGCAGTTAATGTTTGGGATCACCAATTGTTTCAAACTGAAATTCAAATCAATCAGCTACAGCTTTTTGAAAAGTCAGTTTAACATAATGCAGCCACTGCCTCAAAAGCAAGTAGATTTGTGATGTGCAGGATTCTTAGTAAGTAAACAGCAGCACAAACTGGGAAAAGCTGAAAGGGTCAGCTTGTCTGGAGGCATCAAGTTCACATATCAGCCATACCTTTGAGTTCAGTGAAGTAGTTGCACTGTTTAGCAGGGTTTCCCTGTCGCTCAGTTCAACTGGCTGTGCCATGTTGGTCAATACTTCAATACCTTTCTCCAAAGCTTTCTGGAATGACTCTGAAATGATGGTGGGGTGAATTCCTGTGAATAATATAGAAGGTTGTTAGCTCATCATTGCAAACCAATGGTCTTTCCCCCTCTCCCTAAACCAGTCTTATTACTCAACTAAAGAATCACCAGCTTCAAGCTTAGTTTATCATCTTCTTAATTCTCTGTTCATAAGAAATATAATCTAGGTGAGTTTTTATATGGCAATATTTACCATCTCATTTAGTTACTATTTTCAGTATTAATGGTGATGCAATCAGCTCAAAATGAAAGGCTAAGCAGTGACAATGTTAATCAGAAGTGGGACATGAGCAAAGCCTCAAGTTACCTTTTCATGTTTAGGGTACTTACCAGCTACTTACCAGCTTTTGTAGCTAAGACTTTCATATATAATAGGTATCATATATAGATATAAATAAATAATAAATACGCTTGCCTTTCTGAAGAAGTCTGGAACAGGCATCCAGAAGAGCTCCAGCAATGACAACAACAGATGTAGTACCATCTCCAGCTTCAATATCT